CACCACGTAGTTTGCACATCGTAGGTTGCACGACATAGGTTGTACCACTTCGATTATTCAACATCGGTTGCACCACATTGATTGAGCACTGCACCGCGTAGATTGCACCACATAAGTTGTACCATCTAGCCCGCACCGCGTAAATTGTCCCACGTCGACAGATACATCACATCCGTTGCACCACATATGTTCCACCATATCCGTGAGCCCCGGATAATAATTCATACCCCCCCTTCCTCCCTGAGAGTTGGTTCTCCCAGGGCAGGACAGAGTTGGTTCGGGAAGAGGGGCGACAAGGCCGAACTTTATTCTCGCGGGGGAAAGTTACGAACCGAAGTTGCTCTCTTCTTATGCTGAGTGGAAACATCATCAAAAACGTGTGGCATTGCAATGGGGTTCCCACCATTTCAACTTTCGCAAGTCACGAACGTGTGCGAGAGCTGTGGGGTTCTCACCAATTCAGCTATCCCAAGTCACGAACGTGTGGCATGGATATGGGATTATCGTTTATTCAGCCCTTCCCGAGTTAGGAACGTGTGGCGGGGCCATGGGATTCTCACCATTTCATTTTGCCCAAGTCACGCTGCTCCTTCGTGCGACGACGGACGATGACCTCCTCTTTCGTCAGATATCCCTCATGCGATCTGCCGGGACAAATCGTTTGTTATCCCCCGCGACCCCTAACTTCATTATCCCCCGGGTGTCGGTTTGAAGGGCATCGGTTTATATAGCTTATATATACACACGGCACCACATAGTTTACACCATATGCACAGGTTGCACCACATAGCTTGCGCCACGTACATTGCACCACGTGTGCTGATTAATCTCGTACGCACCCCGTCACACATGATCCACATTGATTGCACCTGGTAGTTTGCACAACGTAGTATGCCTGCACACGCTGTGTCGGGCCCGCCTGGGCTAAGGTTTTTGAATATGGAGGTATGACCATGAAGGATCTCCTGCCCTGCTGGTGTAGTTATCGCTCGCTGGTCATCGTTTCGCTGTTCCTTCAATCATGTGTTGCTGAATGCTAGCTCTTCTACGTAGCACTTGCGCGCCAGGATTCGAAGCGAGTGGCCTTACAATTGAGCGGAGCAAGAAATTGAGATTGAGCAGATCATAACACATAGATGGTATCACATCCACCTGCCGCCACATCTATACTGTCGTATTTCAACGGGTACACCGCGCAGGTTGCAACGGATTCATTGCCCTGCGTAGGTTGCACCACCTCGAGTGCACCATCCACAGGTTGCACTACAGAGATCCCCCTCGAGTGGACAAGATCTTGCTAGCGTGGTCTCACCTGCGTATCATCCTGCATGGCGTATCTTGCGACATTGGGCAAGTCCTGAACCAATTGTGCACATCAAGTAGTGATGAGTTCATTCCTTATCGGAGGCTCACTGCGCCTGAAACTCCTACAGCCCGATCTCACCAGGAAATGTTGACCATGATCAGGATCCCACGTATTGTTGATATTGCTACAGTGGGCATGTGTCATTGGCGTTCCCACCGCCCTGACTCAACGTTGTTTGCCTCAACTGGCGATGTGTTGCCTTGCACAACCTGTCCTGGTGGACCCTCCGAAGTCATCGCGGAGAAGTTGCGCTGTCAGAAACGTTCGCCTTCCACAGCTACACTTCCTCCTTATCTCAGTGGGCCAGCGCGTTCAGGTGGTTGTTCGAGATATTCGAGGAACAGGCCGGGCGCACTTCCTTGAGGAGGGGATGCAACGTAGAGGCGATAAGGGAAGATGGTAGCCGATTTGGAGGGGCATTTGCGAAGAAAGCGTTCGTCTCTTGGGTAAGGCCGTCGTGAGTTCATCGACCCTTCAGTTCATCATACACCAGGCAAACATCCCAACCACAGGTTATCGCATGGAAGTCTCGCCACCGAAGAGAAACCCACGGCGTAACCCATGGATTGCGCAACGCCATGGCTCAACCTGTGGATTGTGCAGCTTATGGCACACCCGATGGCGCAATACACGGATCGACGCCCGAACTCGAGTCGCCGATTGGGATGTCGCCATGATCGCCTGCACATTTGGAGCCGTGAGTTCGAAATTCGAAGCCCCTCCCATCGAAAACGCTTGCGAACATTATCATGCTCCCGCGAGGGCTCCTTCAGTGCAAACGCTGATTGTGGAGTACTGCGTCTGCTGCTTGCCCATGCTTCTTAACCAATGTTCAGCCTGTCACATCCTGGCTGCCGCACGCCAGTGTCCTTTCTACTGTCTCAGCATCTTACGCGGTCCGAGACCAATCCTAGAAATTGTCGTTCCATTGTTGAGCATGTTCGGATACATGTTTGATGATCTGCAGTGCTACTGGCGCGGGCTCCCATATCCCTTTTCACGGTCGAGCGTTTTCCTATCATTCGTTGAGGCGATTCTATTGGTCTCTCTGCCCCCCTTCGTCTGTGCAGTCCCGTATGCCACCTCCCAGGCTGGATCGGGTTTGCCAACTATGTCTGCAAATGGCGACCACACGTTTCTCTTTGAAGAATTGCGGAAAGGCTTGGAGGCGTTATTAGAGTGGGGTGCTCAGTGTCTTTAGATGTCCATGTTCGCCTGGTCGGCGCCAGCAGCGCAGATAAGAAGGATCCAACACATTTTTGGTTGTCAAGTCAGAGGGCGGGGAGGGACAGTAATGGATCAGCAAGCCTTCAGATGACGAACATGAAGAGTGGGGGGGGGCGCACCGGTATGTCAGCAATGACGGGGACCGACGACGAATGGGGAGATTTTTGAGGGCGAATTTATATAGGAAAAGAGAGAGAGTTAGAGGGAGGAGTAGGAGGAGGACGACGAGGAGGAAGACGAGGAATAGAGGGAGGAGGAGAACGAGGCGAGAGAGAGAGAGAGAGAGAGAGAGAGTTAGAGGGAGGAGGCGGAACACGAGCACGAATCTGGAGACGATCGTTACGGGATAATCGAGCGATGCTCCTGGCTTCTGACGTCATAATTCTTTGCGTGCTCAGTGCTACCATGGGGCCGCTGCCCAACATGTGCTCCTCCAATGAGCATGCAGAGTAGACGTGTGCGTGTGTGTGTGTGTATGTGTGTCGGGCGCCTCCTCCACCCCTCGCGCATCGCGGCTTAATTCGCGTTCGTATGCCCTATCAATGCCTATCCGCCAGCGCAGCCCCCCTGCCTAGCCGCCGGCGCAAAAAGTGTGTGTGGGTGTGTATGAGTTTGGAGATCAAGCAATGGGACATTTACGGTCCACGTCCGCAGACACGACCGCACGACGAGAGAGCCAGATCAGTTCTTTCTGTCTGTTTGAGCCTCCCCAGCTGCTAAGGTATACTCATGGAAATTCTGCGTGGCATGCTATCAAGCAGGCGGGACGCGCACTTGTGCGAAGTGATGTCTGCGCCCGCGTTCGACACGTGGCCTCTGTTTGCGACATTGCTTGATGAATTCGCTACCCCCCCCGTTCGACACTTCGTCTGTCCATCTCTGCGTCCGTCTATCTATCGGTCCGCCGTTCCCCTGCTTGTCCGCTGTTCCGTCTGTCCATGTGCCCGCAAGTGCGCCAGTCTGGGCAATGTCGATCCTTCTCCGGTCGGCCCGAAGTATAATGTTGAGGTCGGCTCGGGGGGGGGGTACAAGCGTGTTCCGACTATATACCTGTGGGCCTGTTCGCCCGTCAGTCCGTATGTGTGCCAATCCGTCCTATCTTCGACCGTCCGTTCGCTTGCCTGCACCCCCATCGCATTTCGAGGTGGAGGGGCAGGCTTGGCGCCCGTTCCTCCGGTAGCTTCCTGGCCTCTTAGTTCAGGCTATGTCTTCCTTTGCGATGCGCTTTGTTGTTTTTCTTTTTTACCCCAAAAAGGTGTAAGGACAACACTTTAGAATAAAGAAAAAACAAGAGTTCGGGCAAGATGTCAGTGGGATTCCCATCCCGACGTTCAGCAGCAGCGGCAGCGACCAGCAGCGGCGGGGGTCCTTGTGTGTGAGTTCACCGGCTTGGCGGCCGCCATCCTCTGTCCCCCGCCGGCCTGTGTACAGTTCTCCCAGCACCACCACCGCTTCGACCACGGACGCGGTGCGCCTGCGCCATCGCTGCGACCGAACGCCAGAGCTCAGCGACGAACTTGTGCACCCCGAGCCAGCCACTGCGGGTCCGACGTGCAGCGCATCCTGTTGTTATCAGAATATCTTGGCCCGGATATGTCCCTTGACCAGCGTGCGTGCTTGCACCCTAGTATAAGAGGCAAAATGTTGGTCCGAGCTGAATCGAACGCCTTTCACTAAAGGTGTCGTGAGAGGAACTCATCAATGTGGTTCCCATTATTGCTGAGGGGGTACTCCGCAACTTTACCATTCATGTTTGCACCCATTCATGTTTACCTCACTTTCATTCTCTTGCGGCCGATCCCGCCGACGTTCCAGCCAGAGTGCGAGCACAGGAGGGTGGGCCTGGCAATGGACAGCACACGGACATTAGATTCGAACCTTGTGGCTCAAGATGCCCCACGAATCCCTCGAAATTGACATTGATGGCGTTGCGAAGGAGGGGCGTGAGTGGACAAAATATTCTCACCCCCAAAGCACCGCCCATTGATGTGGGGGGCGGAGGGGTGATTCCGAGTTCCCCTCGAATGTGTCGGGGTTCGAACGCATTGCCCATCTGCTGGAGCAGCGGGAAAGAGCGACAGAGGAAGATGGCGGAGGGGTGCAGCGCGCTGGCGCAGGGACGCGGTAATTAGGGCCATGGCGCAAACCCGGCGGCCGTTCCTCTTTTTCGTCGTCCCTCCCCCCCGGTCCCCTTCTCCCTGCGCCCCTTCCCGTTCGTGCCGTCTCTTCGTCTGCGCGTGTCGTCTCTTCGTCTGCGGTCCCCTCTTTCTCTGCCACGGGACTCCCTGTGTGCATGTAGAGCATGCAGCGGGAAGAGCAAGCAGCAGGGGACACGGTTGCAACAAACTACAGAAAGGCGAGGGGGGGAGCAGGAGAGGGAGAGCCCGAGGTGGACCGAGCACGTCGGATGAGTTGGTCCAGTATCGCCTCAGTGAGCCGCAAGTTGGCCCAAAGCGTACCCATTGTCTCCGCCAACCCCAGTACCCCCCCACCGAGACCCCCCCCCCGCCCGCAATTCCCCCCCTTACCTTCACGTGCGCCCGAGCCTTCCTTGTCACTTGTGCACTGTGCAATCGCATTCCCGCCTGCGACGCCAGCTATCGTGTGTACAGTCAGCCCGGCTCCTGCATCCTTCCCTTTCGGCCCATCCTTGGCCGCCTTCGCTGGCCGCGCCCCGCTCGCAAAGTGTGGACATGGCCCTCCGAGGCCCCTGCATCCTCTCCTCGCCGTGCGTCCTTCTTGCGTGGGTTGCCTGTGCTGTGTGCTTCTGGTCTCCGCAGGCCGATCTGCCGATCTGCCGATCTGCCTGCGCGCCAGCCCTCCACCACGCCTGCCTGCCGATGCGACCGGCCTGCACGACAGGCGGTCGACAGCAGCATCCAGTCGCGCCTGCAGGAGCAGGAGTGGGCCAGAGACGAGGCGGAGGCGGGCCGTCGGCACCGCCGCGGCGCCGACGCTGCCGCTCGTCGCTCGAGGCTCGCCGCCATGCCACCAGCGTGTCTCGCATGCAGCGCTTCCCGGCGTCTGCCGCTCACGCTGTCGGCGATCGCAGATCGCAGCGACCGCGGGGATCACGCGATCACCGACCGCGTGATTGGTTCGGCTTGAGTGCGCGGACGTCCGAGCTGGATCGCGTCACCGATCCGTGATCGGCGCGGCAGCCGCCGTGGTCAGGGCTGCGATCGGATCGCGTGATGGGGCGGCGTGAGCGGCCAAGGGATCAGCCGTATGCAGTCAAGCAGCATAGGAAGGACGGGCTAGTCTCCCGAGGGCACCCCTGCACCCTTTGCCTCCCCGGCCCATCCTTCGCCACCTTCGCTGGCCGCGCGCCCCGCTCGAAGAGCTTCGACATGGCCTTCCAAGGCCCCTGCATCCTTATCGCGCATCCTTACTGTACGGGTGGACTGTGCGCTCCAAGCGTGGGCATGGGGCTCCGCGGTGCGAGAGGACTCGGACAACGAAAAGGCCACCGTGGGCCGTGGGACGCGCACGGCTCGTGCCGGAGATCCTCGGAGAGCGCCCCCGAGCATCCCCCGGGAGCGGCCGCGGCGCCGCGCGCCGTGGACGCGTTCGCTGGCTCCCTGAGCACTGCGGTGTCTGGAGCCGCTCCGAGAGGGCTGGCACAGGGACGCGGGCAGGATGGCCTCACTCGGGGCTCAAGAGACGGGGGTCAATGCAGACGGGGGTCAGTCAGAGTGCCGGAATATTGCAGGATCCTGTAGAGCCAGGGTTGCATTGGCCAGGGCTTGGGCGCAGGAGCCTGCAGGGCCTGACTGACCCAGGTCTGGATTGACCCGTGTCAGCAGATCCCCGAATCACATGATCGATAGGATCAGGAGGGAAAAAACACACACAGACACAATGAATCGTCGATTCCCCGAAAATATTGGAAAATATAGGATTTGGGGGGGCAGGCAAAAACCCAGAAAATATGGGAAAATTTGGGGAATCCGGTTATTTGCCCCCGAATCACATGATCGATAGGATCTGCTCCGACGAGGGGAAGAACAGCTTGAGCTGAACATGTTGGAGCGCCGCTCGCAGGGGGGCCCAGCGCCGATCCAAGGAGTCCGCGCCGAGTTTCGAGAATGTTTATTATTCAGGTTCTGTTGATCTACCTCCCCCTCGAAATGAAACTCAAGTTCTTCCCGCGACGTGGCGGCGCCCTAGGACCTCAACAAGTCCACATTCGCGTTCAAACTTTGCGACTGCAGACACGCAAATCGGACCCCGTGGGCCGAGTTTCGCGCGTCGGCCACCGCAAAATAATTGCGCTTGATTTCGAGGGGGGCTGTGTTGAACAAAAATGCCTTCAATGCTTGATCTGGCTTGCTGATGGCTGCAAGGCGAACGCGGTCCGACAGAGGCGAAAGTCGTCTGCCCAGCAGTTGCCGTCGCTGCTCACTTCGGGCATCATTCAATTCGTTGGGCGCCGTTTCTGTTCGTACTGACCCGCTGTTCCTGTGGTATGCGGAGGGAGTCTTACCAGGGCAGTCGCTCATTGATGCCACCCCCGTGGGCTGGCGTGACCGCCACGCCAGAAGAGCAGATGACGCACGGATGCACATCATCGTCAAGGAGGAGGATGCGCAGGCGAGGAGGGAAGGAGGAGATGGGAGGGAGGCGGGGAAAGGAGGGTGGTTCCAGACACCCCCCCGAATTCAGCGAAGTAGAGAGGTGTGCTTCCGACACACGCACACACATACATACAAACACACACACACACACTCGCTTACAACCCCCCGAACCCCCCGCGGCGGGGGGGGGCTCCTCCTCCGACTCATCAGTGTCCCTTGTCTCCAGCTGGGGGCGCAGGGGGGAATATGGACAGGTCGGCAGATAGGCCGTGAGCAGTTCGAAGGCGGCCAGGAAGACCGGCTCCTCTCCCCTGCTCCCACTCCGCCTCGTCGTCTTCCTGTTGCACCTCGTGCTCCACCTTCTCCACCCCCCCTCGATCTCGTTGTCTTACCCCTCGTCGTCGTCCTCATCCTCCTCCTTGCTCCCCCGTCCTTTCTCCCTCCTGCTGCTCCTCCTTCTTACTCCTCCCACCTGCTCCCTCGAAGTACTCCTCCCCGACCTCCGTTTCGTCGTTCCCCTTCTACGCGTGTTGATGCAGCTGGCCCCTCTGCTTGAGGATCCCCGCGCGAGTCTGGGAGCACATGCAGTGGAAACCCATGCCAAGAAACACCCTGCTTGCCGCCAGGGTGCCCAGGGTATTTGGATTTCGATGATTTTGCATAGGAAAACGTAAAGTTCCCACACCAAAAATCCGTGGACGTCCTGGGATCTCATTGTTGGGTTTCTTGTGGAGTGTGTCTTGTGGTCGAGCTCCTACTGTGCAATGGGATTCGCCTCACAGACAGTCGGCCCGTCGGCCGGTCCAGGGCGCGATGCGCGGGGGGGCAGGGCGGGTGGCGGAGCTGACGCGAAAGACGAGAGGCCACACTCATCAGCTGGGCCCTTGGGAGCGTCCCAGACCGCAGATCGAGGTCTCGGAGCTCTTCACTTGGGCTCGAGGAGGTACGCTCCGACGTGTTTGTTCAGAGAGGAGACATACAAAGCAAGAGGGTGAGATAGGGGAGCAGGAGGCGGATCTGGAGGAGGATCAAAGGGAGGTGGTCATGATTATGATGGTGATTGTGATGGTGATGATGCTGATGATGATGATAGGGATGGCGATGGCGATGATGATGACGATGATGATGCTGCTGCTGCTGATGATGATGATGATGATGATGATGAGTATTGTAATTATGGTGACGATGATGACGGTGATGATGAGGATGATGATGATGATGATGATGATGATGATGATGATGATGATGATGATGATGATGATGATGATGATGATGATGATGATGATGATGACGACGACGACGACGACGACGCCGCTGCACTCCGAGCCGAGCGCGAGCGCTGGCCACAGTGGCATCTCGGGGAGCTGCTGCGGCGCCCGGCGATGGAGGCTCCATCCCACTTGGAAACCTTCGGCTGCCGCTTCTGCCAGCGCTGCGGCACCGGCGGCGCTGGCGTGGCTCTCGGTCACTGCGCCGCATCGGCGCGGCCCGTAGCTGCGCATGTGCCAGGAGCTTGCGCGGGCTCTGCAGGCGGCGGCGGCGGCGGCGGCGAGGAGGAGAGCGAGGGCGAGCGCGACAGCGAGGAGGAGCAGGAGGAGGAGGAGGAGGAGGAGGAGGAGGAGAAGGAAGAGGAGGAGCAGGAAGAGGAGGAGGAGGAGGAGGAGGAGGAGGAGGAGGCAGAGGAGGCATGGCGTGGCTCTCCTGGTCACCGCGCGCGTTTACGGTGGGCCACCTCGGCCTCCCCCTCGAGCCGCGAGAGGCCGTCGGCCCGCACAGGGCCCGTGGCGAGCACCGCCACTGGGTGCGCGCGCGCCCAGGGCGGACCTCGCGAACTCCCGGTGGGGAGCCTGGAGCCGCTTGAGAGGAGGAGGAGGAGGAGGAGGAGGAGGAGGAGGAGGAGGAGGAGGAGGAAGAGGCGAAGGCGAAGGAGGAGGAGGAGGAGGATGAGGAGGGAGGAAGGAGGAGGGAGGAGGAGGAGGAGAAGGAGGAGGAGGAGGAGGGAAGAGGAGGAGAGGGGCAGGAGGCGGGGTGCAGGGTGGGAGCGAGTGACGACGAGGAGGGGCGAAGGATGGGAGGTTCGGGGGCCGTCAGCTCCGCGCGCCCCCAGGCCAGAGAGGCGCATGCCAACCAGCCAGTCGCAGAGGGCTGGAGGAGGATGGAGTTGAATGGCAAATTCTTCTATTTGCACACGAGCGGTCGGAGGCCCCGTTGACTCAGCCGCCGACTTGTTCTCTTTGCCACATCCCACCGTCTTCCTCTCGGACATCTGACCAGGCAAACAGACAGAAACACGCAGTCTGGTCTGCGCTTGATACCGGGGCCCCTCTGTGCGTCTGTGTGCGATCACGTGCTGTTTCGTTCTTGCCGAGCCCGCTACTCCAGCTTGCTTCTCATGAGTAGTTTCCTTCCTTGGGCGGCAGTTGGCCTTGAATGGGTTGAGAGCACAAGCCGGACAAACGCACATTGCCGCGAGCAGTTTTTCGTCATTGGAGGTTATTGTGGGCAAGACTTGTATCCATATCCAGAGCGTCTTGGAATTTCTTGGAAAGGGCGCCGCAAGGCCGAGGCGCACTGGATATGGATAACAAATGTAGCCTTCTGGGGCCAGATTGAAATCCATATCCAGTGCGCCTCCGGTTTCTGGTGAACAGAGCCCAAAACTCCAAGACGCATTGGATGTGGATAGAACTATTGTCCGCAGTTCTTGCCACGTCTTGACAGCGGCCAGCACATACTCGAGACATCGAGGAGGCAGTTCGTGGTTTCCCAGTGTTCCTACACCTGCTGTACCTCAACGGGAGGAGGAGGATCATGATAAACAACGAAAGAACAATACTAATGAGCAGAAGCATGAGGAGGATAACATGAAGAAGAATTGTCTCCCCGCGTCCCCGCCGACCTATCTCTTGGGCCTCCCCACGTCGTTCATGCTCTCTCCATGCTTTCGCGCTGCCGACTCCACTCTCCCCCCGTCCTACTGCCTGCGTCGTTATCTCCTCTGCCTGTAGATCGGCAGGCTGATCTTTGTTTGGCAACACAGCCATTGACATGAGTCGAAGCCTGTTTTGTAAGTAGCATCGGACGCGCAACTGAGGGAACCGGATGATGATGATGATGATGATGATGATGATGATGATGATGATGATGATGATGATGATGATGATGATGACGATGATGATGATGATGATGATGACGATGATGATGATGATGATGAGGATGAGGATGAGGATGAGGATGAGGATGAGGATGAGGATGAGGATGAGGATGAGGATGAGGATGAGGATGAGGATGATGATGGTGCTGATGATGATGATGATGTTGATGTTGATGTTGATGTTGATGTTGATGTTGATGATGATGATGATGGTGATGGTGATGGTGATGGTGATGCTGATTATGATGATGATGATGATGATGGTGGTGTCGATGATGCTGATGATGGTGATGATGATGATGATGATGATGATGATGGTGATGGTGATGATGATGATGATGATGATGATGATGATGATGATGATGATGATGATGATGATGGTGATGCTGATGATGCTGATGATGCTGTTGCTGATGATGGTGATGATGATGATGAGTTTGATGTCGTTTCTTTGTCTAGAGAGTGGGCTGTGCTCCACAACATGAAACTGTAAATGGTTGCAATAAGAGCGACGAATGTGGTAACTCTTCTTCCAAGGACGTGAATGCTGGTTTCGTGAAGCAGGAACATGGTGCGACTCCCAGACGGGCTGAGCCCGCCCGCTGACACGGACTGTTGAAGCAATAGCCCAAGTCTCAAACCGAGGGACATGCGCACACCGCACACCGAATTCATACATCTTGTTGCCGCCGTGCTGCATCTGCCACTGCCCAAACTGAGGCCAATAGCATGCGGCGTGGATTTGGCGCGTCGTGTGTTGTCGCCCCTCGTCCTGACGTCCTGACCTCGCTCCTCCCTCCGTCGAATCGTGTGCTTGTGCTGGCTCAGGCTCTCGCCAATCCGCTGCCTCGGCCCTTCTCATTCCTCGGCGTTGCCGCTCCCTGGGCCTCGTTTGCGTTCTGCGCCGCGTCCTGCCCCGCTCCGTGCCCCGTTGAGCTTTGCCCCACCTCGGGCGGAGGATCTCTCGGCCACCCTCGCCGCCGGGAGCGCACAGGGCTCCTCCTCCTCCTCCTCCTCCTCCTCCTCCTCCTCCTCTTCCTTCCCCTCCTCCGCCTTCTCCGCCTCCTCCGCCTCCTCCGCCTCCCCCTCCTCCTCCGCCTCCTCCTCCTCCTCCTCCGCCGCCTCCTCCTCCTCCGCCTCTTTCGCCTCCTCCTCCTCCTCCTCCTCCTCCTCCTCGTCCTCCTCCGTCTCCGACGCCGTGCTGCATCCCACGGCTGCCAATGCGCGCGGTGCGAGGCCTCTCGCCGCCGCGGCCTCGAAAGTCTCCGACCTTGCGGCCGTGGGCCCCCCCACGGCGAGGCGCAGGGCGCGTGCTGCCAGGGTCCGCGCTGGCACGCGCTCGCGCGGCGGCAGGCAGCCACCGCCCTTCCAAACCACCCCAACCCAGCCCGAAGGCCGCGATCGGCCCTCCATCTCCAGTGGGGGGGAGTCGGGGAATTATTGAACAAACGTATTATGAAACCATATGAAATCCGTACGCCCCCCCCCCCTACCCCGACGTTCGGGTCTTCGGGCTGGGTTGAGGCGGTCTGGTAGGCAGTCAGGCAGGCCTCGCCCCCGAACGACGCGCCCGGCCCTGCGCCTCCGCGCGCTCCTCGCGCAGGGCGCGGCGAGCCTCCGCGCGCTGCGCTCGGCGCGCTGCCGCAGCGCCCTGCCCTTGCATAATTTGTGCCCTCCCCGTGCCCCTCCCATCTCTCCGCATTCTCTCGCCTCCGCTCCCGTCCCCCCCCTTTTTCTTTCCCCTCGGAGCGCTTTGCCCCCTGAGCCGCCCGCCCCGTCCCTGTCTTCCTGCGGCCGCGGCCCGTCTCCCTCCTCCTCGTGCCTGGTGGCACAACTCGCTCGAACGGCATCCCCGTTTGAGCCTCTCATCGCCAGGGCAGTCACTTTCTGCCTAGCCGCCGACGGAAAAAAACCCTCCCCCTTGTCCACCCGCTCCCCCTCGTTCCGGTTCCCTGCGCTTCCAGCAACGGGGCTCCACGCCCTCTTTCCACCATCTACAATGCCAGTTTTCTTTCCGGTCGGTGTTTCGCTCCCCCTTGTTCCCCTTCTGCCCCACCCCTCTCCCCATCCCTCTCCACCTTCCTTCCTGTCCATCTCACCCATGTCCCATCCTCTTCTTCTCCATCCTCCGTTACATGAGCCTCCCGACTAGTTTAAGCCTTCCGCCATTCCCACTTATTTTCCTTGCCCACCTCCCCCTTCTTTTTCTCCTCCTCGTCGTTCTCGCTGCGCCGTCCAGTCGGGGAGGCAGCAGCGCCGCCCAGTACCAGACCCCGATCTCCTGCTCGGCTGGCTGAAACTGGAGAGCGAGGCAAGCCGGGAGCGGGGGAGCAGCGGGGTGGGATAGGGCCGCATCAGGAGGAGTCGACTACACGTAAGAGTCACCTTTCGCCGGAGTGACCTTTGGTGCGGGCCCAATTGGGCCCCCGATCGCCGAACACGATGTGGAATTAGCCTCTTGCGCGTTCTTGTTTGGTCCCCCCGCGACCCCCAATGGACCGCGCATCAATGGACCGAAGGAGGAGGGAAGGGGATGGAGGAGCGGAAGAAAGGCTGATCGCACAACAGTGAAGGATCGGTGTCGAAGTGTGGGGGCGAGGAGGGGTACGAAGCGGGAGGAGGAGGAGGGGAGGAGGAGGAGGGAAAGGGAAGAGGTGGTGGACGAGGGCGAGAGAGACGTCCACCAGAGAGAAGCCACATTCAGCGGCGCTGTGTGTTCCGAAGTATTGGTAGGTGCTCTTCGCCTGCCATCTCAGATCAGCTCGTTTCTGCAGTGTAATTGGTTTAGTTCGCTGCCCTCTCAACTTGCTGGGCTCTATATATATATATATATATATATATATATTGTATAGTGTGTACGTTGCATCTCCCTCTTTTCTGAATTATTAATATGTGTATCACGCTTGTTCTCCCGCTCTATCTACATGGTTACATATCTACGTATTCTGCTCTGCCGTATGTTGCTTCCTCTGTCTTCCCTTGGTTGAGTATTCCATCATTCGGACCGTGGTCGCAAGCACGCCTCTCATTGTAACCGTGGTCGCCAGCACCCTTCCCCTTCGCCTCTTACTCCGTCTCTCTCTCTCTCTCTCTCTCCCTCTCCCTTCCTCGTCGGCTTATTGTATCGTACCTAACAACTCGCTCTGTTGCTTGTCTCTGGTCTATCGTACGCCACGTTGTACTCTCATTCTGGCAATGGCCAGAAGAGCCTTGACCGCAACCACTATTCTGAGAACCCAGGAACCTCACAATGCCGTAAACCGTGGGCCCAGAACCGAGAACCCGGGAACCCAGTGGCCCAGCGTATTCCTACCGGAACGAAAGCATTGGGACCCCCGGAGCGGGGCCGTTCACGGACATCGGGCGAGAATTTTCGCCAGTTGCTTTTCACATCCATTGGGACACCTCACTGCAAGCGCTGACGGGGGAAATCTGTAGGATACGGAAGAGGAAGGGGAGGAGAGGGATGGTTTAAGTTGAGGGAGAGAGATGGGGGACATGGGAGGACCTCGGTAGCGTCAAGGAGTGGGGTTGAGCGCAAAGTGGGGTTGGGCCGACACGCTTCCGATGGTCTTGCCAGCTCCATGTTGCTGCGCTCATCCGGAATCCGTACGGGTTTTGCCCCTTGCCGCCGGCCCCGTCTCTCGGAGAATTGGCCATGGAAGAGCGAAGTCATCAGGCTTTGGTTTCTCCGTGAAGCAGTGTCGGGACCTGTTTGTTTTTCGACCCTAACCCTAGAGATCTGCGTGAGGAGTGCCGCCGAATTTCAGAAATGTGGCAAATCCCTTGTGTTTTTGGACCCTGACCCTACGGATCTGTGTGAGGGGTGCCGCCGAATCTCAGCAATGTGGCAAATCCCTTTTGTTTTTGGACCCTGACCCTGCCGATCTGCGTGAGGGGTGCCACAGAATTTCACAAATGTGGCAAATCCCATGTGTTTTTGCACCCTGACCCTGCCGATCTGCGTGAAGGGTGCCACCGAATTTCAGAAATGTGGCAAATCCTTCGTCTTCTTGGACCCTGACCCCGCCGATCTGCGTGAAGGGTGCCACCGAATTTCAGAAATGTGGCAAATCCCCTGTGTTTTTGGACCCTGACCCCGCCGATCTGCGTGAAGGGTGCCACCGAATTTCAGAAATGTGGCAAATCCCCGGTGTTTTTGGACCCTGACCCCGCCGATCTGCGTGAGGGGTGCCATCGAATTTCAGAAATGTGGCAAATTCCCGGTGTTTTTGGACCCTGACCCCGCCGATCTGCGTGAGGGGTGCCACCGAATTTCAGAAATGTGGCAAATCCTTGTTGTTTCTGGACCCTGACCCCGCCGATCTGCGTGAGAGGTGCAACCGAATTTCAGATACGTTTGAAATCCCATGTGTTTTTGGACCCTGACCCCGCCGATCTGCGCGAGGGGTGCCACCGAATTTCAGAAATGTGGCAAATCCTTGTTGTTTTTGGACCCTGACCCTTCTCCGATCTGCGTGAGGGGTGCCACCGAATTTCAGAAATGTGGCAAATCCAATGTGTTTTTGCACCCTGACCCCGCCGATCTGCGTGAGAGGTGTACATGTTTACCCCCCTTGAAATTTTTGCCGTGGTGCAAATGTCTGTGTTGGGCCTCCCCCCCTCGCGCGGCCCATCAACAAGGAACAGCAAGCAGCAAGAAGCCAACAAGGAACAGTAAGCAGCCAGAAGCAGAACTGTAGCAGTGGAAACTGGAAACTGCAATTGGCACAGGAAGCTGCGAACTCCCGGCCTACAGCCTGCTGGTCCCACAAGGGGGCCGGCGGATTTGTGTAGATTAGTTCGGAGGAAGATAAGGATGAGTTTCCTTCTCCGCATGGGGTTCTTACTCATGGTTTAACTTGAGGGATGGTTTAAGTTGAGGGAGAGAGATGGGGGACAAGGGAGGACCTCGGTAGCGTCAAGGAGTGGGGTTGAGCGCAAAGTGGGGTTGGGCCGACACGATTCCGATGGTCTTGCCAGCTCCGTGTTGCTGCGTTCATCCGCAAGTTGTGTAGATTACTTCGGGGGAAGATAAGGATGAGCTTCCTTCTCCGCAGGGGGTTCTTGCTCGTGGCCGGGGCTGCATGGCTGGGGGTCGCGGGTGGGCTGCCTGCCTCCGCGGGCTGAGCCGCTCACGGGGCTGGATTTCTACGCAGGCGTCTCGGTTGAACCGATCCTTTCGTCCCCCACCGTTGTGGAAGAGATCACCAGCCTCGAACTTATCCCTATCCCTGAGATTGACACGCCGAAAGGCGACGACAATCTTAGGGATGCGCTCTCAAAAATTGAGGGAATCCCTAAGATTGGCATCGTGATGGGGCGATGCCCAGCATAGGGATAGGGATTTTTTCCGGGCTGGTAAAGAGAGGAGGGGGAGAACAATTGGGGAAGACGGTCGACGGAGAGGTTCAGTGGGCAGGGGGGGGTGAGAGGGGCGAGGGACGGAGGCGGAGGTGGAGGACATCCTACCTCTTCTTGCTGCTCCTCCTCTTCCCTTACATCCTTGTGTTCTCTTCTATTCATTAGTTCTCGTCTCGCTTTTCGCATCCCCACCGATTCCATCCTTGCTTGAGCCCCTTTCTTCCTTCCTCCGGCCCCCTCCTCGCCCACCGCTCTAGGAAAACAATAATCGGGTTGGGAGGATGGGGTGGGGAGATATGACCAGATCATCTGTGTTACGGCGTATGTCGAGCGTTCTTATTACACAGTCGTGCCCCGTATCTTCCCAACCCCATCCCCCCAACCCAATAATTGTCTTGCCGTCTCGTCCTCCTCCAGCTCAGCATCCCTCTCCTCCGCTCTCTCTTCTTCATCTCTCGCCTCGTCCTTCCCCTGCCCTCGATTCCCCGTCCTCCTCTCTTGCTCGTGCTCTTGCTCCTCCTTGCCCTCGTTCGCGGACTGCGCCCGTCCAAAGCGAGGCCTTGGTGGGCTAACTCGTTCAGATCTTGCCGTTCCCGGAGTGTCCTGGCGGCCTTTGTAGGGCAGAAGTTTTCGAGTAGGGGATCGACAGCATAATTGATTCACCTCAGATGTCATTTTCGTGCCGAATTGATTGAAAATATGGAGAAACCTGGGTAGATCGAAAACTCGCATATTCGTCGTAGAGTCAGCGGGGAAAATCAATTTCGGGGTAACGCAACTCTGTAGTCGTTCTCCTACTCGAAGCCGAAGGGTATGCTTTGGTGGAGGTGATTCGCCTTCTTGTCCATCTCTTCATCGACCAGGCTGATGGCGTTACCCTGTGGGCGCTCTGCAATCGGCGCCCACCCCTTGTCTTTGTGTTTCTCCCTCGTGCTCGTTGTCCCCCCCCTTCTCTCGTGACGAAGGAACAACGCACGCGCACACCCATGCCCATATGGAGGTCGGAGGGAGGAGGACCGGCCATGGACATGGGCGCGGGTTGTTGGACCCCTGCGGAAGCTCACGTTCGAGCGGGGACCGCCATCCGACAACACGCACCCATAGCCCCTGCCGTCCCCCCTTATGGGTATAGGTGTGTGTGTGTGTGTGCGTGTTGTTCGTTCGCCATCTCGTGCCCCCCGCGCGCTCCAGTCGAGACCGGGGTCGTTCTTTTATTTCCACGAGAAGACTCGCAAGACGCTGGACCGCCCGCCGCGCCTGGAGGACCCGCCCTGCCGATGGTTCCCTCCGACGTCGGCGCTGTTCCCTGCGGTCAGCGACGAAAAGACTCGGCGGCGAGCGGGGGGGCGAAGAAGTGAGAAGGAGCAGGCCTTCTCAGCAGGCGGCGGGGCTTCTGAGAAGCCCTCGCGCCTGCCGAGAAGCCTTCTGCGTATTCGGGGATGTTTAGAGGGCTTCTCAGAAGGCCGGGGGACTTCCGAGCCTTCAGAGAGGTCCCGCCCCTTCTCTTTCCCCTTCCGGGCTCGCCGCCGAGTTGTGGGAGGGGAAGTGTTCGTTACCACCATGACTCCACACGGACAGTGAACTGGGCCAGGCATTGGCATATGCATCGGTGGCATGTCAGAATGAGAGGCCACACTCATTCAGATAAGGCCTTTACGTTGGCTTGTGGAGGCTTGGTGGCGGTGTATCACTCACTCCCCATCTCCCTCGATGAGGACTTGTAGGAGGACTTGCGAACCAGAGGAGGAGGAGGAGGAGGAGGGGGAATAGGAGGACGAGGGGCCCACTCCCCCGCTCGGGAGGAGTTGGATGAGAAAGGGAGGGGATTGGAGGAGGTGGAAGAGGAGGATCTTGACCAGTGTGAACCCAAGACGCATAAACGATGATGCAAAACATCCTTTTGCCAGGTCTCCTCTTCACAGGTCCCTGCAATAAGTAATCTTCACTGCTGGAAGTGCCCCGTTGGGAGACAACCGATTGAGAATCCTCAATCGTGCCAAAGCACCACTCCTTGGACTTCGACGCCGCGAGTCAACCTTATTGCTGCGTCCTGAAGGTCGTGAGCCGTGCCAGGACAGCATTCCTTCGACTTCAGCACCGAATCAACGTGACTGCTGCGACCTGGGATTCCTGAATCGTACCGGGACACCACTATTCGGACGCCTACCCAAACACCACGACACTCGGGGGCAGCAAAGAGGGGGGTGATGACTAGAGCGGGGTGGATACCATGGCGGGGGTCATGATAGTTCCCCAGATTTCATGGCGCCTCTTCTTATTTCATTACGTCCCTGGCCGCTCCCGAGATAACATGCTGCAAACTTTCAAGACGAATGTGCGCGGCGCTGAGGCGAGAGCGGCATTCTGCAAACGGCCCGCTCTCCCTTCGTGAAGCTCTTGCGAACGTTGAGGGTGAATTTGCGCGGGTCTAAGCCACATTATTTTGAAAGGGAGCCGCCCCAAATCCGTAAAACTCCTGTCAACTTTGAGAGCGAATCTGCGCGGCGTTCAGGCGAGAGCCATAGTCGAACAACGGGCTGCACCCCATCTGTGAAGCTTTCACGCGTATCAAACTGCGGGGTCATGACTGGTGGGGAGGTCTCAGGCGGAGGGCCGGGCCCGCTCTACCGATCCGTCTTGGGGTGCGAGAGGAGTTGTGGAATAGCCTTCGGCCCATCCCGTTACCGTGCCTGGGTTGTGGGTGTAAAGCATATTGGATGCTCGTTGGGATCTCGTGGGAGGCTTCTCGGGGGCCTCCTGGAGGCTGTTTGGACGCCTCTTGGGGGCGGGCCGTTTGGGGACCTCTCGGGGCCTCTCGGGGGCCTGTTGGGGCCTCTTTGGGGCGTCGTGGAGGCCTCTTGGGCGCCTCTTGGGGCCTCCTAGGGGTCTCTTGGGTCTTGGGGCGGAAGGCTCCGATTTTTGGTTTGTGTTCCCTCTTTTGGAGCCCTCTTGGGTCGTTTTGGGCGCCTCTTGGGCTGTCTTGGTGTCCTCTTGTGCCGTCTTGGGGCGGTAATGGAGGCATCTGGGGCCGTCTGGGAGCGTCGGGGAGCCGCAAAGGCGCGAACGACAAATTCTTCCAATTATCCCGGCAAAGCAACCTAACAGCGATATGTAGAAGCATATCTGAAAGCATTCCCCTTAAGATTCAGATGAAAATCCAGTTGTAGAATTCTGCTGTTCTCGCAGTCGTAGTCGCATTCGCGATGACAGTCGCAGCGGCAACGGCAGTCGCAGTCACAGCCTCAGCCTCAGCCTGCCTCAGCCTCAGCCTCAGCCTGCCTCAGCCTCAGCCTGCCTCAGCCTCAGCCTCAGCCTGCTTCAGCCTCAGCCTCAGTCTGCCTTCAGCCTCAGCCTCAGCCTCAGCCTCAGCCTCAGCCTGCCTCAGCATCAGCCTGCTTCAGCCTCAGCCTCAGCCTCAGCCTCAGTCTGCTTCAGCCTCAGCCTCAGTCTGCCTTCAGCCTCGGCCTGCCTCAGCAGCCTCAGCCTGCCTCGGCCGCAGCATCAGCCTGCCTCAGCATTCAAAATGTGGCCCAGGAATGGAGTTCTGGGAACTAGAAGAACACGAAGTGGCCTACAGTTGGCTCCGGGCATTCAAAATCATGCCCAGGAATGGAGTTCTGGGAACTTGAAGAGCACGAAGTGGCCTACAGTTGGCTCCGGGCATCCAAAATGTGGCCCGGGAATGGAGTTCTGGGAAATCGAAGAGCACGAAGTGGCCTACAGTTGGCTCCGGGCATCCAAAATGTGGCCCGGGAATGGAGTTCTGGGAACTCGAAGAGCACGAAGTGGCCTACAGTTGGCTCCGGGCAGTCAAAATGTAGCCCGGGAATGGAGTTCTGGGAGGTCGAAGAGCACGAAGTGTGTGTGTCTGTTGACGAAAAACGAGCCCGGCTCTGTTCCCGGTTCTCCAGAATGTGGCCCGGGAATGGAGTTCTGGAAGGTCGAAGAGCACGAAGTGCGTGACTGGTGTCGAAAAGCGAGCCCGGCTCTGTTCCCGGTTTTTCAGAATGTGGCCCGGGAATGGAGTTCTGGGAGGTCGAAGAGCACGAAGTGTGTGACTGTTGGCGAAAAACGATTCCCGGTTCTCCTCCCCGGCACCCGCCTAGACCCCCCTGAGGAGTCATGATGCTTTCATTTGACCCTACTAGAAACCTATCAGCAAAAGCTGTTAGGTAAACACCTCAGGACAGCCAATGATATGGGCCTTTCGGGGCCGTCTTGGGAGGCCTCTTGGAGGCCTCTTTGGGCGTCTTGGAGGCTTCTTGGGCCGTCTGGAGGCCATCTTGGAGGCGTCTTGGAGCGATCGTTCGGCGACTCGGGGCCTCCTTGGGACCGTCTTGGGGGCTTCCTGGGTCCTCTTGGCCCATCTTGGGGCTCTCTATGGCCCGCCATGGGAACCGCGACAAGCCCCAGGAGATTCGGAATTAAAGACTCCTCACGAGTGGGGAGTGAGGCTTAGAGGATTGGGCCCAGGACCCGAGGACACGCCCACTCCGTGCCCAGCGGCACGGCGGCGGATTCTTCAAGGAAAGGGATGGGGAAGGAGGAGAAGGAGGAGGAGGAGGAGGAGGAGAAGAAGAAGGTGGAGGAAGAGGAGAAAGAGGAGGAAGAGGAGAAAGAGGAGGAGGAGGAGAAGGAGGAGGTGGAGTCAGAGGAGAGAAAGGAGAAAACGGAGAAAAAGGAGGAGGAGGAGAAGCAGAAGGAGGAGGCGGAGAAGGGGGGAAGAGGAAGAGGAGCATGGAGGAGGGAGGGAGGAGGAGAATGGGGAGGAGGAGGAGGAGGAGGAGGAGAAAGAAGAGAAAGAGGAGAACGAGGAGTAGGAGGTGTGCCGCGTCGCCTGCCCCCTCCACCTCTATTTTCCCTCCCCGCGCGCCGAGGACGACATGCCGGCCGGCTGGGTCCGGCGGGAGTCCCGGAGCGAGCCTGGCACGTTCTTCCACGTCCACATACAGGACGGGGGATGGCGGCGAAGGCTCTTTTTCGGGGGCGGCAATGAGGGAGGTGATGACTAGGGGGGGGGATATCATGGCGTGGGCCATGACATTTCCCCAGATTTCATGGCGCCTCTTCTTCTTTCATTACGTCCCTGGCCCCCTCGCTGGGCCGCGCACATGCCGCTGGTCATGATTTGTACCCCCCCCCTCTTGGACACCCCCCTCTTGGCCGCTCCCGATTGTCGGACTCGAAGAATGGAAAAGGACATATGCATAAACTTTTGTCGCTCCGCGCGGACTCCTGGGATCCGCGCTGGCCCCCCCGGCGGCGCCTCCGGCGCCGCCCCTGGCGCGCTCCGCGCGCAAGGGAGGGGGGGTCCAGCGCAGATCCAAGGAATCCGCGCAGAGCGCCAACAGTTTATGTTTATGTCCTTCTTCTACGGACGGGGCTACGACCCTCATCGAAATCAAACGCAAGTTCTGAATGGTGGTCGATGTGCGAAGCGCGGCCCAAGGGGTTGTACTTCTGTGTCTGCAGTCGCCAATTGCGGCGCGAACATTGAGATTGTGGGATCCTGGGGCGCCGCCGCGTCGCGGGAAAAACTTGCGTTTGATTTCGAGGGGGTGGTGCAGGACGAGGCTGAATCCGTTCCAGAGCGTTCCGGAGCGCTCTCAGAGCGTTCGGGAGCAGGCCGCGGCGCCCGAGACGTCCTCCAGAGCCGCCGGCTCTCAGAGATCCTCGAGTTACCCTCACCCGATGTTATCCTCGTCCTGGCTTCGTCTTAGCTTGTGGCGAGAACGACGGCGCACTTCTCGTTTCCTCCCTCGTCCTCCTGCCTCTTCGGCAGGTGTCGCCGCTGCGCTGACGCAGCAGCGGCTCCAGAGGGGGCGCTCGTATCTGTAGGATCCCGTGCGCAGTGCAGCGCGGTTCACCTTCGTCCTACCTCGCCCTGCCGTAGACAGCCTGCCCGCGCTGGCACCTTGAAAAGTCCAGGTCCGCATGAATGTGGCGCGTGCATTCTTGCATTGTTCCAGCGAAGCGCCTTACCGGATATACTTCATCCTCCCATAAAGCGGGCCAACACACCAAATGGGTCTTCTTCTTTGTGACGCCAACGGCTGGAGCTCCTTGGAGATGGTTCTGGAGTGGAAGTTGGGCCCAGGCCTTGAGGGGCCCACGCCGCTCTTCCCGGCGCGGATTTCTGCCCGGCAGTGGCGCCTGGAGGCATGGTGCACGTCCGCCAGCTCACGATTTTGCCCCCACGAGCCTGCTAAGGGGCAGGCAGCAGCGGGCAAGGTCATTGCCGGGCACGCCCAAGCTGTAGTGCCTCATGGGCTCATATGGTTATCGGCTTAATTCCACCACGGCGTGGGGGGGGTGCAGGCCACCGAGGCCGCTGCTGCTGCCGCTGCCGCCTGTGGCGCCGATGCCCTGACCGACCGCCTGCAGCCCGTGCCGGGCCAGCGGCCGGGGAGCGGGTGGCCCGCTCTGTCCGTGCTCCCCCCCCGCCTCCATGTGCATGCGTGTGTACTCCTCGGGATCTTTCCTCTGGATGGGTAAGACGTTGTGAGGAGGAGGAGGAGGAAGAGGAGGAAGAGGAGGAGGAGCACCTGGAGGAGGAGGAGGAAGAGGAGGAGGAGGAGGAGGAGGAGGAGGAGGAGGATAAGGATAAGGATCAGGATAAGGAGGAAGAGGAGGAGGAGGAGGAGGAGGAGGAGGAGGATAAGGAGGAGGAGGAGGAGAGGAGGAGGAGGAGGAGGAGGAGGAGGAGGAGAGAAGCAGCGCGCTCCCGCCGTGGTGCAGCTGCCGTGTCCCTGGGGTCCCGGAAAGCACGCCTGGCCCACCACCCTCCTGGCAGAGCGGGGGCCCGGGCCTGGCGCATCCGCCGTGGTGCCTGCGCCGAAGGGTCGAGGTGTCAATCGACGGGTCGAACTCCTCCGCCTCCTCCGCCTCCTCCGCCCCCCCCCTCCCGACGCCGCCTCCCTCGCTCGTGCGGCCCTGCAGGCTGTCGAGCTGCCCCTCGGCCGTAATCGTCGCAGGCGGCCCAGGCGTAGACATGAGGCTAGGTTTTGGATGACCCGTCCCCCCCCCCAGGCGCATCAACCTCCTTCCCCCTCCGCCTCCTCCTTCTCCTCCTCCTCCTCCTCCTTCTCCTTCTCCTCCTCCTCCTCCTCCTCCTCCTCCTTCTCCTCCTCCTCCTCCTCCTCCTCTTCCTCCTCCAGGTCGAATGGTCGAGGAGCTCGTTCAAAGGATCGGGGTCGAAGGGTTGCTCGAGCAACTAAATTTGCATAAACATGATGTGCGTGCAGTCCGCCGCAGATCTCTTGGATCCGCGCGGGGCCCCCCTGGTTGCGCCTCCGCGCGCCCTTTCGCAAAGAAATCAGCGCGGGCCTCCGATAGCGTGCGGTTGTGCCGATAGCGGCTCTTGTGGTCAAGGATCTCGCCCGCCCGTGTCCCGTGGTGCGAGGGAGGCCCTCAATCTTTCGAGCGCGCTCCATTGAGGCGTCATCGGCCTGATTTGCAATACCAGGACTGGCGTCTTGCATGATCGGGGCGGGCCGCTGAGGAGCACAGGGCGCAGAAGGGGGCGGAGAAGGGAGGAGGCGTCGTTGGTGGAAGGACGGTGGAGGAAGGAGGAGGGGGATGAGAAGGAGGATCATGGGCAGTGCCCCGCGCAGCATGCACATGGCCCTGGTGCCCGATCCAGGAGGCCCCCTCGTGCGTGTTGCCCTCTGTCCGCGATCGGTTCCCCAGTGCTCTCGTTGAGCCCCTGCCCGCTGCGGAGCAGCCCTCGGCACAGTTTGCTTCTGCCCTGGGCCCCGAAGGGGTCGGACCACTTCCCCGGGGCCAGCCTCTCGTCACGAGCCGTGTGTCGACGGTCCCGGGGCCCGTGCGGGATCCCGAAAAGCCGAGCAGCCACCAGCGCAGGCCGCAACATGTTTGGTCGGCGGCCTCCGATCTTGGGACTCCGCTCGCCGCCCAGACCGGGCTCGTCCAGCTGGGCATGCCCTGCGAGGGCCCGCTGGAGGACCCCCCGCCTTCCGTCGCTGCCCCTGGGGTTCCGCGGGTGGGGGGGGCATGAGGGGTCGGCGGGCGAGGATAGGGTGGTGGGAATTTCGTAGCTGGTGGTGGTGTTGATGATACTGTTGACGATGGTGATGATGGCGACGATCGTGAGACTGCTGACGATGATGGTGTTGATGATAATATGGTGATGGTGATGATGACGATGATGATTGATGATGATGATGACGATGATGATGGTGATGATGATGCTGGTTATGGTGATGGTGGTGATGATGACGATGAACATGACGACGATGGCGACACTGACAATGGTGATGGTAGTGATCATGACGATGACGATGACGACGGTGATAGTGATCATGACTGTGATGATGACGATGGTGTTGGCGATGTGGCGATGATAACGATGACGATGGTGATGACGATGATGATGACGATGATGATTTCGACGATGCTTATAATGCTTATGATGATGGTCAGGATGTTGCCCGTGGTAGTGATGACGATGATGATTGTGATATTGATGATGGCCATGACCATGATGACGATGACGATGACGATGACGACGGTGATTATTATGATGATGACGATATGGCGATGCTGTCGATTACGATGGCGGTGATGATAATGATGACGATGATGACTTTGACGATGACGATGTCTATGTTGCTGATGGCGATGATGACGATTATGATGATGGTGATGGTGATGATTATGATGACGTCGATGATCATTGCGATGGTGATGATGATGATAAATATTGATGATGATGATGATGATGATGCTGATGATGATGATGACGAAGTCGACGACGACGATTACGATGATGCTGGTCATGTTGCCGATGGTGTTGGCGATGCGGCGGTTATGAACGTGTGTGACGATGCTGATGTTGCCGATGAAGATGAGGAAGATTATGATGACGATGATTTTGGTGTTGTTGATGGTTGTTGCTGCTCCTGATGGTGACGATAATGATGGCAATGCTGCTGGTTACGATGATAATGACGATCACGAAAACGATGACGATCACGATGATGATGGTGATGCTGATGATGATGGTGACGCTGGTGATGACTATGCTGATGACGATGATGATGCTGTTGGGGATGTTTTAGTAATGATTATGGTGACGGTGTTAATGGTGATGGTGCCGATGGTGATGACGATGGCGTTGACGATGATGAGGATGTTGATGATGATGATGATGAGGATGAAGACGATGGTGATTGCGAGTTGGCGATTATGACGATGACGATGGAGATGTTGATGATGCTGTTGAGCATGATGATGTGATACCTATGCCGATGACGATGGTGATGCTGGTGATGTCGATGAGTATGGTGATGGTGGTAGTGATGTTGATCTTGATGATGATTACGATGCCGATGACGATGATAATGACGATGCCGATGGCGATGATGTTGATGGTGGTGGTGGTGCCAATATTGATTTCGATGATAGGAGCGGTGATGACGTTGACGATGATGATGATACCGATGTTTCTGATGATGATTGTCATGATGATGACGATGATGGCGATGATTACGATCATGATGGTGACGGTGATGATGCTGGTGAAGATGAAGATGACAATGCCGATGACGATGACGACGATGATGATGATGCTTGTCATCAGTACGGTGATGATGGCGATGGGGTTTTGCTGATTGTTGTGATGGTGACGATGATGGTGCTGACGATGCTGACGGCGATAGTGGTTGTGAGTGTGGTGTTGTAGCTGTTGGCGGTGGTGATGGTGATGGTTACGATGGTGAAGGCGATGTAGCGATGATGACGATGACGACGATGATGACGAAGATGATGCTGACGATGATGATGATGGTTACGGTGATGAGGATGGTCATGATAATGGTGATGGTGATGATGATAATGCCGATGACGATGGCGATGACGACGACGATGATGAAAATGAAGAAGAAGATGATGGGGTCGATGGTGATGTCGATGTGGCTATGATGACGATGAGGATGACGATTTTGACTTTGACGATGATGATGATGATGGTAATGTGGTTGTTGATGGTGGTGATTGTGATGATGCCGCTGACGATGTTGCTTGTGATGGTGACTATGATGATAAGTACGATGACGATGTCGATGACGATAACGACGACGACGGCGAAGATGATCATGGTAATGTTGACGATGATGATGGCGATGAGACGATGATGGCGATGACGATGACAATGTTGAAAATGGCTGTGATGATGATAATGATTATTACGATGGTGATTGTGATGGTGATTCGGGTGATGAGACTGATGATGATGATGGTGGTGTTGTTTATCATGCTGACGGTGACGACTATGATAACGACGATGATCATGTTGGTAATGATAACGATGGTGATGGAGATATGGCGATAATGACGATGACGGTGACGATGGCGATTACGCTGTTGACGATGATGATTATGATAATGGTGATGATGAATCTGGCGATGAAGATGATTAGACTGGTGATCATTCTGATGATTGTGTTCAAGATGACCATGGTGATGGAGACATTGAGAGGTGGTGCTCCTGGTTGTGAAGATTCGGGTTTTTACCACGACAATGGCCATGATAATCCTGATTTTGCTGATAGTAGTGGTGATGATGCTGATGGTGATGATAATCATGATGGTGATGATGAGGGTTCCATTTTGACGCTGATGCTGACAAGTGGTGATGGTGATGCTGGTGATGATGCTGGTGACAATGATGCTGACTGGTGGTGATGGTCGTAGTGATGCGGATGAGGACGAGGACGAGGAGGTTGAGCCATGATAGCTGCAGAGGAGAGAGGATGACGAAAAAGAGAAAGTGGAGAAGGAAGAGCAACAGGATGACGATGCGTGATGCGACAGGGGTAATAATGATCAGGACGAGTGTAGGAGGCGAATGGGTGGACGAGCATGTCGAGGACGAGTTAAGTAATATCATGATGGTGGGAAGGGGTGAGCAGGGAGTACCATTTTGGTATCCCCTGCTGGGGGTACCTGTTGATGGTGCTACTATCGCATGGCGTCTGGCGCGCCTCTCGACCAGCATAATCAGAGTTATCTGGCATCAGAGACCCCCGCACTCGCCCTGCCACCTCTACGGATGGCGGCAAGGCTCGGAGCTGCCGACGGTGGAGGCACGGCACCTGCTGGGACGGGGGGCGCTTGCGAAACGCCCTTTTGCCATGTCTTCTGGCCTGGCGCTGCAGCACCAGCAGCACAGAGCACAGCACTCTGTGATGAGCCTGCCCAGGGGACCTGTGATGTGTCGGAGGCCCCGAGACTGGCACCAGCACCCATATCGGCGGTGTGCTTCCACCGAGGGATGGCGATCCCGATCTCGGTGATGGTGGTAATGTTCGGGCTTCCTAGGTGGCCGAAAGATTACCACCAACACCGAAATCTGAGATCATCTTCCCCCGGAGGAGGCAACCCCCTGTGTTGGTGTTGGTGCCCATTTCCAAGCCTCCAAATGTGGCCCTGCTGGCGTGCCGAAGCGGGGGCTGGCGCCCGACAAGCTCCACGGGGGCACCACCTCGGCAGCACGTCGGCGACGCGGGAGGGGTCCGCAAGCGCACCGTGGAGCGGCACAGCTCGCGCGCACCGACTGCCCCGTTGCCGAACCCGCTTGTGGATCTGTTCATGTTCGGGAGCGACAGGAGGATGTGCACGTACTCGAAATCCCTCAATAATCGACCCCCCCAAAAAGCAACGGCAACCTGATTTTCGGGACCCCCCTGTCAACGGGGGGCCTTGATATTCCAGACCCCCCTATCTTCGGTTTAAGGAAACCGCCCCAACAGAGACGCTTCAAAAAACCGGGCCCGGGGGACGATGATTAGGGGATTTCGAGTACATGCATCCACGCTGGTCTCGAAAGTACGCATTCCGCGAACCAATGTATCACGCGGCTGGTCTCGCGGACGGGGGGGCCGTGTTCACGTACGTTGTTAGGCACGTGCGTCCTTTTTCGGTTCCCATACGTGTTGGGCATCCTGAGGAGTCGCTGGCGGAGGGGATGAATGGGGCGGGTGGGGCCGCAAGGGCCGCCCCCGAAGGCGGAAAGAGCGGGCAACGCGGAATTGGAGGGAAGAGAGAGAAGGGGGGTGCCGGGAGCGGAGAGATGGCCGTGGCCTAAGCGAGGAGGTGGAGAGGAGGGAGGGGGGATGAGAGAGGAAGAGAGGAGTGAGCCAGGATGGATAAGTTCGGATGGAGTGGCTGAGAAGGGGGGGGGACAGGGACTGGCGATCGGGGAGGACTGGGGGGGAGGAGGAGCGGAACGGGAGGACAGGGGAGCGTGGATGAGGAGGACGGAAGAAGTCGAGGAGAAGGGAGTTGGGAGGAGGAGGGATTGGGATGAACAGGAAGAGTGCGGGGGATCGGAGGATGGGGGAGTGTTGAGGAGTAGGATAAGGAGGACGAGCATCAGGAGGAGGACGAGCTTGAGGGCAAGCCTCCAAGGCATCGTGGGAATCGCCGCCACTTTGAGTGCCAAATTTGTCGATCGGGTGTGATCTGTCCGCCTGATTTTGCTGAGCATGAGCATCGGCAGATGATCCTTCGGGAATGCACGATGGTTCCTCATCGGTGTCCGCATTACTGCCCCAGCCATCGCTCATTGCGTCTCTGGCCCGCTTTGATCCCCAACCCTCGTTGCCGACACGCTCTATCTCTCTTCCTATCGCTCTCTCTCTCTCTCTCTCTCTTTTTCTCTCTTTCTCCTCTATCTCTCTCTCTGTCTCTCGCTCCTCTCTATCTCCCTCCCTGTCTCTCGATACGTTCACGTTGTTGTATTTGTATGTCTCTCTCTCTCTCTCTTTCTTTGTGTCACTTTCTCTTCCGTTTTATTGTTGATGTCTTTATTCCTCTATCTCACTCTATCGATATACATCAATAGTTCCCACATCCCTTCATGTATACACACATATCCCCCATCGTTTCCCAACTATCTCCCAATAGGTGCGCACAAATAATCTGTATTCACATGAGTTGCACATGCATGCCCAGGCTCATATATCATACACCGGGGAGCCAGGTCCCCGGACCCCAGGCCGGCACACTATTCCAAAGCATTCCTCCTTCCCGAGACCCTGTTTGAGTCCCGGCGGGGCCCCCACTCTTTTAGGACCGCTTCCGTGCCGGGCCCGCTGTAGGGGGGGGAGAGAGCCCCGAGAGGAATTTGTTCTGTTTTTTTAATTAATACCGTTGCAATCAATTATTATGATCATGATTGTCCTTACTATTCCTCTTCTCAATCTCCTTTGCTTCATTTGTCGGGGTCTACTCGTATTATTGCTGTCGCGCGTTCGAGGCAGCAGTCGTCGCGCCGCAGCCCTGCAGCTCTCGCCGCCCCGCGGCACCGCTGCCCCGCAGAGCTCTGCTTGCGCGGGTGGTGCCGCGCCCGGCGGCGCCCGGGCGCCGCCCTCGCCTCTGCAGGCGCCGCGGCGCGAGGGGCGGGCCCCCCTGGGGCGAGGAATCAGTCGGGCGTGTCCCTCTACAGGAGGAATATTCAAACATAGTCCAAAAATAGTCTGGGGACGATTGTTTCATTATTTCTTCACTATTTGGGAATATTGGGCTGGCCTCCTGCCAGTGCCGCCGATCGATTGTTTCATTGTTCCTTAACTATTTGGGAATATTTCGGACTGCTTTTTATTGTTCGTCCAAAATCCCCCTGTACGAGGGCACGCCCGACTTAGGGCGAGGACGGGCTGCGCGCAGAAGACCGGGCGGGGCTTTGGGACGCGGGTGGTCATTCAACGACACGTAACCCCGACCCCTTCGCGTTGCGAACAAATCACGACAGGGGGGGGTCATGTGATTTTCGGCTTCTGGGGGGCCCTTACAAGGCCCCGGGACCGTAATAAAACGATCGTTCTTTGACGGTTCCTGGGGGTCGGAGTTATGAAAAAATCACGACGTCGGGGGTCTGTGAAGAATGACATTTCGCCGGAGTGGCCTTTCCCACTGGGGTCCCCCGATCGCCGGGTGCGGTGCGACAGTAGTGTCTTTTGCGCGCTGGTGCTCGGCCCCTTCGCACCCCCCCACAGGCCGCGCACCAAAGGTCACTCTTGCCTATGGCCAATCTTACGTGCAGCCGAGGAATGTGGGGTGACCTAACTGGGGGGTGAAGAAAGAAGGCCTCCAAATGGGCCCCCCCATGTGGGTCACCCCTCTTTGGGGTGGTCCCCCCCCCCCCGCGGCGGCCGAGACCTCTTCCAGAGCCGCCGGAGCTCAGAGATTCCCAATTTATCCCCGCCCGATGTCATCCTCGTCCGGGCTTCGTCTTAGGAGAGGCCCATCGCCAGGAGGGCGGCCTGCCAGTGCGGGCCCATCGGGGTCCCAGGGGCAGCGTCTGGGAGGGATATCCGCCGTGAAGGTCAGGCCCCCGGAGACCAGGACACAGACAAACCAGAACACGGAAAACTAAGGATTCGGGTTTGTGTCTGGGTTTGGGGGGTTCTTGCAGGCTTTTATAGGGCAGGTGTCCGGGTTCATCTTGGCAGTGCTGCAGTGCACTCTTTCGTTCGTGCCGCCGTCTGGAAAAATTGGTTTTGAAGGATGTTGGGTGCCTGGGTCTAGCGTGCCTGGGCTTACGGGGCCCTGAGCAGGAAGCGGGTCCTGATTGGCATGGGCCCTGAGGCATCTCCTCGTGTTCGGGGTCCTAGGGCCCTCCACGGGCCCCGGGACCGTCAGCAAGCGGCTCTGCGCAGGAAGGCCTGGTTCCCGCGGGAAGGCCCGAGGCTCGAGGACGACCTTGTCCCGCGGGGAAGGCCCGAGGCTCGAGGACCCGGTCCCGTCCCTCGTGCGGCTCTGCGCAGCGGTTCCCAAAAGGACGGTCTAGGACGTGCTCGTCGGTATATATCGGCGCTTTTCCAGCCCCGGGGTGCTGCCCAGCAGCTTCGCCTCTAGGTGCCCGGATCCTCCCGACGGGCCGCTGGACGCTCGACTTACCTACAGCCGGAGTGCCATTAAGAGACGAGGAGGGGCTCGTGGGGGAGCGCATCGTCCCCCCCCCTCCTCCTCCTCCTCCTCCTCCTCCTCCTCCTCCTCCTCCTCTCTCTCTCCTCCCTCTCTCTCCCTCTCTCCTCCTCCTCTCTCTCTCCGCCTCTCCTCCTCCTCCTCCTCCTCCTCCTCCTCCTCTCCTCCTCTCCTCCTCTCCTCTCCTCCTCTCTCCTTCCTCTCCTCTCCTCCTCCTCTCCTCCTCCTCCTCCTCCTCCTCCTCTCTCTCTCCTCTCTCCTCCCCCTCCTCCGCCTCCTCCTCTCTCCTCCTCCTCCTCCTCCTCCTCCTCCTCTCTCCTCCTTCCTCCTCCTCCTCCTCCTCCTCCTCCTCCTCCTCCTCCTCCTCCTCCTCCTCCTCCTCCTCCTCCTCCTCCTCCTCCTCTCTTCCACTCTCCTCCTCCTCCTCCTCCTCCTCCTCCTCCTTCCTCCTCCTCCTCTCTCTCATCCTCCTCCTCCTCTCCTCCTCCTCCTCCTCCTCCTCCTCCTCCTCCTCCTCCTCCTCCTCCTCCTCCTCCTCCTCCTCCTCCTCTCCTCCTCTTCCTCCTCCTCCTCCTCCTCCTCCTCCTCCTCCTCCTCCTCCTCCTCCTCCTCTCCTCTCTCCTCCTCCTCCTCCTCCTCCCCTCCTCCTCTCCTCCTCCTCCTCCTCCTCTCCTCCTCCTCCTCCTCTCCTCTTCCCTTCACTCCCTCCTCTCTCCTCCCTACTCCTCCTCCTCCTCCTCCTTCCCCTCCCTCCTCCTCCTCCTCCTCCTCCTCCTCCTCCTCTTCATCCTCCTCCTCCTCCTCTCTTCCTCCTCCTCCTCCTCCTACCTCCCTCCTCCTCTCCTCCTCCTCCTCCTCTCCTCTCCTCCTCTCCCTCCTCCTCCTCCTCCTCCTCCTCCTCCTCCTCCTCCTCTCCTTCTCCTCCTCCTCCTCGGGCTCGTGGGGGAGCGCAGTCGCCGATACAGGGGCCCCGTAGCCCACCCGGCCCGGGAGCGTGCGGCTGTGTTGTCGGAGGCAGTTCGCCGATGTGTCTTTGCGATGCATCGCCGATTCCGGATCAGTGTTCCCCCACCTGAGCCCGTCCCCCACCCCTAAAGTGTCCCCTCAGGGTCCCCGCCAGTTCTGGCCCGCCCGCTCGGATCCGCCCCCGCCCCCCCCCCCCGGCCCTCCTCACGACCCCCTAAATAAAGCCGGCCTCCTCGCACCAGAGGCCGTTCTTGCCTGGGGCCACTCATGCGTGCAGCTGAAGGGAGGGAGGGCTGGCTCGGGGGCCAAGGGCTGGAGGAGAAGATCGAGGAACAGAAAGCGGCCTGAGCGCAAACTCTCGGAGGTCCGCGCAGACTTCTTGGGTCGGAGGTGGAGGGCGCGACGAGGTGGGGTCTGGCGCAGATGGCCGAGATCTGCGCGGGCCTCCTGGAGTCAACGCTCTGTGCCGCTGCTCTCTGCTGGAGCAGTGGCGCGGATGAGGGCTGGCGGTCCCTGGAAGGCCTCGGTGGCGTTTGCTCTGGGGAAGGGGGAGAATTGCAAAAACAAAAAAACGAAGGATTGCAAAAAAACAAAAAAACAACGATGGATTGCACAACAAACAAACAAAAACAAACTATATATATATACACAAAAAACGAAGGATTGCAAAACAAAAAACCCAACGAGAACGAGAGAGGCGGGGGGGAAGAGGAGATGCTTGCGGGTGGGGAGGGGGAGGGCAGAGTCACGGAGGGAGGGAGGGGAGAAGGCAGAGGCCGGGAGAGGGCGGGACGGGGGCAGAGGTGGAGGAGGGGAGGAGCGGGCGGGGTGTGGAGCTGGGGGAGAGGGAGCAAGATGGAGGGTGCCAGACTATAGGAGGCTGTGGCGAGGCAGGGGTGGGCAGAGGGCGTGCGAGGGGAGCGAGCTGCGGGAGGGGCAGCGAGGTGAGAGGGGGAGGGGTGCTGGAGCAGGAAGGCTGTGGCGAAGCACGGGTGGGCCGACAAAGAAGGGAGCTTCGCTCCGCTTGCTTCTCCCTGCGCTTCCCTGCCCAGCCTCTGCCGCCCCTGGCGAGGCTGGGTGGTAGGAGACCCCACGGGAGCCGAGTTGAGGAGGGGAGGGGACGGAATGTGATGCCCCCGTGTTGCCCACCACGCAGGCTCTACGCATGGCCACTCCTGCCCTCTTGTGGCCCGCTCCCCCTCTCCTGATCCCCCGCTCCGGCCCCTCGGCGGCTCCTTCCTCTTGGCGTCCCGAGGCCAGGTCGCCCAAGGTACCGACGCGGATCGGACATCAGACTTGCATATGTTGCGGCCATGCAGAAATGTAGGCCACGAGCCGGACCAGCCGCAGAGGCCAACAAACTAGAACCAGGGCGACAGAGAAGCAAAGATGTGGGCGAAGGACCCGACCAGATGCTGGCGCGAGTAATTACCGCAAGTCAGATGAGACGAAGCAGGGGCAGCTCCCGATGGGGCCACGGAACGTGCGAGGGGTGTGCCCAATCGGGTGCGGCGCCGCCATGCGAATGCAGCCAATGCGGCCTCAAGTGGAGCTCCCTCTTGGGCCACGAACCGTGTGAGGGGTGTGCCGATTTGGGGGCGGGTACGCCATGCGAGCGCAGCCACTGGGGCATTATGTGGAGCTCCCTCTGGGGCCACGAATCGTGTGAGGGGTGTGCCGAATCAGGAGCGGGCTCGCCATGTGAAAAGGAACCACTGAGCGTTTCGTGTGAGTTGTGTGCCAAATCTTGGGCGGGTGCGCATGGCCTTCGGTGGAGCTCCCTATGGGGCCACGAAGCGAGGGAGCGGTATGCCAAGTTGGGCGCGGGCCCGCCGTGCTAACGCAGCCACTGGGGCCTTAGGTAGAGCTCCCTACGGGGCCACGAGACGTGTGAGGGGTGCGCCGAATCGGGGGCGGGTGCTCCGTGCAAGCGCTGCCACTGGGGCCTCAGGTGGAGCTCCCTATGGGGCCACGAAACGTGTGAGGGATTTGCCGATTCGAGCGCGGGTACGCCATGCGAGCGCAGCCACTGGGGCCAGCCATTGGGACCTTCGGCGGAGCTCCCTCTAGGGCCACGAAACGTGTGACGAGTATGCCGACTCGGGCGCGGGCACGCCATGCGGCCACCTCCCAATTGGGCCCTCCCTTTGGGCCACCTCCCAATTCCACCCGCCCGGCAATTCCTGGGACCAACCTGCCATTCGGATGCAACTCCTGGGAGGTCAAATTCTGATTTTGCCCTGGTCCGAAGTCCGGTTTACTCGGGCTTCATCCCGCTTAATCCGGCTGAATCCCGCTTCTAATCCCGCTTCATCCGGCTGAATCCCGCTTAATCCGAGGCCCATTCTGGCGCAACAGCCCCCCAGTGGGGCTTGATCCTCCTTCATCCTTCCGACGAAGACCTCTCAGTAGTTGCCTCCGAACTGTCAGATCTGTGCGATGCCAGTTCGACTCCAGCTCGGCTCCAGCTCGGCCCGCGTCGACGGACGCTCCCCGTTGCGGGACAAGCGAGGCCACGCCGAGGCTCGGCCGCGTGCGGCGCGCTCTTTGGGGGGTCTTCGGCGCGCTCTGGGGGGGCCCTCTCCTCACGTTCCCTCTCCGACCCTGCTTCCTTCCCCTTTTCCGTCCTCTCCCTTCCTTCTCCTTCCTCCTTCCCCTTCTCCTCTCCTTCTCATTCTCCTCTCCCTCCCTCCTCCTTCCTCCTTCGCCTCCCTCCTTACCCTTCTCCTCTCTGCCCCGCGGGGGCTGCTAAGTAGGGCCAGCTGGGGACCGCTCGCGCGGGGCCCTCCCGTTTTTTGGGGGGGCTGTGCTCGACCTTCCTCGGTGGGGCTCCTCGGGCAGGTTCGGCACTGGGGCTCTCGCGCTGTGTCCCCGAGGGCCATCTTCGAGCTCCGCTGTGCGCATGGAGCCCTGGACGGCTTCTCTGCACGATCCGCATCACCTAGGGCGACGAGAAGGTGAAGGGGGAGGAGGAGGAGGAGGAGGAGGAGGAGGAGGAGGAGGAGGAGGAGAAGGAGGAGGAAGGGGAGAAGGACGACGATGAAGGAGGAGGAGGAGGAGGAGGAGGGGGAGGGGGAGGAGGAGGAGGGCGACGAGGCCCATACACTGCCACTGCCGCTGCCCAGGCCCATCCCGGGACCTCGAGCGGCGAAGGCGCCCGCCTGGCTCGGCTACCAGGGTGGCAGGTGCACCGCTCCTGGGCCCAGACCCAGTCCTCCTCCTCCTCCCTCCTCCTCTCTCCTCCTCCTCTCCTCTCTCCTCCTCCTCCTCTCCTCCTCCTCCTCCTCGTCCTTATCCTCCTCCTCCTCCGCCACCTCCTCCTCCCCTCCTCCTCCTCCTCCTCCTCCTCGCCCTCCTCCCCTCCTCCTCCACCTCCTCTGCCTCCTCCTCCTCCGCCTCCTCCTCCTCCTCCCTCCCTCCCTCCCTCCCTCCCTCCCTCCCTCAGGAGCTGGCTTGGCCAGCGGCAGCGGTCATGTGCAAGAAGAGCGCGTCCTGGTGACGCTCGGAGGGGCAGGGTTCGAGCCGCCCCCTCTCCCCCTCCCCTTGGATTGAAGGGGGGGGGGGGGTCGACCTGGGCGCGGGGGGGGGACGGGAGGGGGCTCAGAAAGGGGGGGCGGGGTTGGAACCGCCGACCGCAGGGCGGGGGGGGGGGTCGAACCGGAGGGGAGAGGGGCCCCCTTCCCTCCCCAGTGGCAACCGACGGCGGCGAGCACCAGCGCCGGCGCCAGCGCCGTCGGGCAGCCACGATGACGATGATAATGACGACGACGACGATGACGAGGACGACGAGGACGGTCAAGCCTTTAGTATGATGACATTAGGGCTGGATCGAACCAGAGTGAGATTCGACTAGAGCTGGATCGAGCCATACTAGGATTCAATTAGTCGTCGATCTAGCTGTAGCCGTACGAATAGAGCTGGATCGAGCTTCAGTAGGACTCAAATGGAGCTGCATCCAGTCATTTTAACGTTTCTGCTGCATGTGGATCGAGCCCGACTAGGAGTAGGTTGGATTGAGCCATAGTGGGCTTCTGTGAGACTCGGATCGAGCCTTTGTTCGATGCAGTGAGAGCTGGATCCCGCCATCGCAGAGTATGCCCGTAGAGTTGGCTCGAGCCCGACTCGGATTCTATGGGGGGGGAGGGCCGGGCGGCTCCGGCTCCGACGTGCTCCAGGGATCTGTGCCCCAAGCAGGCGTCCACGAAGCGCGCCCTCCCGTATGCACAGAGATCGTCTCCCAAGTCTCACCCGTCCCTCCTCCCCCCCCCCTTCCCCCTCCCCCCCCCTCTCCCCTCGCGCTCCCCGCAGGCCCGCATGGGGCGGCCCCCGCGGCACTCGCGGGCGCCGCGGCCCGGGCGCCGGCGGGCCCGCCTCGCTTGGGCGCCGCTGCTGTCGTCGGCCGCGCTGGCGGCCGCCGCGCTGGCCGCCTCGTCCCGCTGCGGCGCGGTGTTCGCGGCGGCCGGCTCCGCCGCGCGGGGCCAGGGACCTCGCCCTGCCGCCGTGTCCGCGAGCAGATTGCAGTCAGCTGCGATAGACGTGCAATGTTTCCTTTTTGTATACGCACTTGCGCAATTATCTCCCAACCCTACCTTGGCTGGGATCTCGTTTTGAACCTATATTATATATAGAGGGAGAGAGAGAGAGAGAGAGAGAGAGAGAGAGCAGTGGGGTGCCGATTCCCTATTCCTCCTCCTCCTCCTCCTCCTCCGCCTCCTCCTCCTCCTCCTCCTCCTCCTCCTCCTCCTCCTCCTCCTCCAGCTCTCTGTCACCTTGCCATCTCTGGGGGGCTGCGAAGTGTGAAACTGACGCCACTTGCGAGGGCTGCTGGGGGAGCCAGCACAGTGGGGTCCCACGTAGATCCAAGCGGGACCTCGCCACCTTTGGGCCACCCCTGGGGGGCTGCGAAGTGCGAAATGGTCTCCACTTTCGAGGGGTGCTGGGCGGGGCAGCACAGTGGGGCCCCACGCAGATCCAGCCGGGACCTCGCCTTCATCTCGCTAGTTTTGCCGAGGTGATTGTGCTTCCACCTCGATGTTTTCCTTTTGCTTTTCCTTCCCAGTGCAATACCTCCTGTCCTTTTGTACCTCTGTTCTGCGAGTCGGCCACGCACACTTCGCACGACATGGATCTCCGCCGTGCACAGTCTCTTGCAGTGTTGCTGTCACATTATTGCGGTCACACCTTGTATCATCCCTTGGTGCCGATGGGTTGGGCACGTCGCCTGGTAATTAGTATGTTGGGTTCCGTTTCTGGGATTTCAGGGGGCGGAGTCCTGTGTGGACACCCGTGGCACTGAGCTGCGCCTCGCCGTGGGCTTTCGGGGGTGCTCCATTCGAGGTCTCCGCGTGTGTTCGATGAATCTCGGCGGTCTTCAGGCCTCGGAGGGCCCTCCAGCAATTGCGCCTCGCCGATTTCGTTCCAGGGGTGCCCGGGTCGCCCCGAACGGCCGCCGGAGACCCGAGTGCTGACCCGGAAGCCAGACGACGAGGATCGCTTGGCGACACCATCGGGTGAGTCAGTGGGGATCGGCCGGCCAAAGAGGCAAGGAGCTCGGCGAAGGAATTCGTCGTGCAGCCGCTCCAGATCCCCACGGGTTGGGAAACTAGGACACCGGAGCTTCTATAGGCCGAGCTCTTTGGTCGACCCCACGACTTGGTGTATGCTCGGAGCCCCTCCCAGCTCCGCCGCCCGGGGGCTCGGCTTGCACTTTTGGCAAGTGCCCGTGGGGCATTCATTGTTCGTTCGGCGCTCGGTTTCGAGCCCTGCACCCGCTCGGTCACATCGGCGTAGGGTTCTCGGACACACACGCGGGGTTCCGTTTGGCTACAGACACCCCTCGAAGTCGGACCACCAGGTGGCATTCCAGATTTCTGACCTGCAGGGCAGGGTTCACATGTGGCCCTCTATTCATGACAGGGAGATCATCCTGGGGACGCACCGCAAATCGTCGTGGGGACATTCGGGCTCCCAGGACGGCAGTCGAAGAGGTCCCAGGGCTGCACAGGTGGGCACAGGGTAGTTTTCCAAGAGCTCGTTTTGAGCTCTAGGTTGGCGGCCGCTTCTTTTTTGGCCGCGGCTGCCTCGGGACGTGTGCCAGGAAGGAGCTTCAGCCTGAATACTGAGCACCGTCAAATCCAGCTTGATCGAACACCTGAAGATACATGCTGTAACTGTGTCGCGAGCAACCAGTTGTGGGAGGAGACAGGATGTCCAGCTCGTCTGAGTTTCTGAACGTGCCATCTCCGTTCGTCAGTACTCGGAGTCTCGTGTTGATAATCGTTGAATGGTCTGGCCCTACCGTGACCCTTCTGTTACCTGCTCAGCGGCCATTGGTTCAGCGTTGTCTACGATTTTATCCGCAGGGCGTCATCAACCGCAGTGCCGCGGAGTGATGTCGCATGCGACCGACATCTACCAGCCACCGTATTTGATTCACCATATCCTGTTAATCGTGATTACGAGACGCGCGCGATCGGGTTGGCTGGTCCCCATACCATCGTTATTTCGAGTTCGTTCCCTCTCCGCGTGCTCTTGCAAGGACCGCTGCGCAGACCACCAAGGACGCGCAGACACAATGTTTTGGTATGGTGGTAAAGGTACGTCGGAGCAGGCAATCAAATTCACATGAGCGGCAGGAATGTGAGCCATTTGGACTGCAGGGGCGGGGATGCTGCGACCGTTGAAATGTGTGTAGCTTGTGGCAGGCAGGCAATGGCGCACGGTCCAGAATATGTTTTCCCGAACCTGTTCGCGCATAGACATTGTGCCTCTGTTTCAGGTGTTTCCTTGCATCTGGTTCAAGGCATCCATGCCATCGTGGCGGAACAGTTGTGCTGGTAAGTGTGGCCATGGTTTGCCTTGGTTCGCTGGCGCTCCACAGCCGTCTTTGCAGTGGGCTGCGGCAGGATAGCTGGTATCATCACGTTTCCGAGGATCTGATGCGTCCGGGTCACACCACAGCAGTCGCCGTTGCCAGCCAGTCTTCCGGAGGATTGCAGCGGCCGCCGCCACGGAGGAGACGGCCAGGACGAACACGGTGTGGGTGATCGAGGGTAGCCAACGGTACCCAGGCGTGTCTGGGATATGCTGTCTCTCGCTCTCTCTCTCTCTCTCTGTCTATGCCTTTCTTTCTCTCTCTCTCTCTCTCTCCCTCTCCCTCTCTCTCTCTCGCTCTGGCGTTCCCTCTTTCTCTATGTAATTCTCCATCTATCTCATACACACACGCTCTCTCTCTCTCTCTATCTCTCTTTCGCTGTCCCTCCCCCTCCCTCTCCCTCCTATCTGTGCCTCTCTCTCTCTCTCTCTCCATATGTCACCATCTCTCCGATCGTGTCGAGCTGTTGCACGCTATTCCACACATCCAGCCACTTGCGGCAAGTCCCGCCACCCAGCCAGCCCAGCACCTTGGGTGGCAAGCGACAGGAAGCCGGAACGTGTGACACCTCGTGTCCCGATGCGTGAGAAAGCCGCAGCGTGTAACATGTTCTCCCGCGACGTGTCGGTGCTGGAATTGAGTGCCGAGATGAGTATGATGATGGGGAGGAGGAAGAGGAAGAGGACGAGGTCAGTAGCCGTTTTGGCTCAAGCAGATTTTGGTACAAGCGTTGTTTTGTGGCCGAGCGCCGTCCCGGAGGGAGTGAGGGCTCCCAGGATACCCCAAGGTAGCCCCAGATAGCCCCAACAGTCCCCAGAGTAGCCTCAAAAGATCCACGAGGGCCCCTTTCATCGACATCCCTCAGGCTCCTTACCGTCCTCCGTCGTCGTCGCCGTCGTCGTCCTTCTCCTCCTCCTCCTCCTCCTCCTCCTCATCATCTGCTTCGTTCCTCCTCGTACTCGTCCTCCTTCATATTTTCCTCCTCGTGCTCGTGCTTGTCTTCCTACTCGTTGTCCTTCTGCTCCCGTCGCTGCCCTCCCCGTCATCCACGTTGTCATCCTTGTCTTCCGCCGCCTGGTCGTCGCCATCATCCCTGCGAGCTCACTGGACAAAATCGGCGCTCCCCGTTCTTGTCCGATCTGGTTCTGGCAACACATCTGCGTGCCATGTAGGCACGGTGGCGGATTCTTCAGTTGAACGCCAATGCCCTGAACCCTTTCATCGTTTTCCTCTCCGTCTATCTCTGTGGAAACACAATTGTACTGATACCGCTACTCCCCAGACCTCTCCTGGGTTGCGTTCTGACTAGAATTTCGAGGCGAATCCAACGGTGGCGACGAGGGCCTCCCAGGAGGCCCAGAAAGGGGAAAACGAGGGAAGGGTAGAGGTATACGTACATTTTCCTTCTCTGAGTTCTACCTCTCTCCCTTCCTCCCTCCTCCAACTCGCCAGTGCAGTGGCTGCCCACCGACACCGTAGACGACTTCAAGGCGCGAATCTACGCGGCGATCAACGTCACGGCCGCCAGGCAGGAGATCGTGAACGCACAGAAGGCGGCCCGGGCTTCGGAGGGCTCGTCCCTCCCTCCATGCAGGCAGGCAGCGCCGCCGCCGATCAAAGAAAGACCGCATACTACAACCCCCCTCGAAATTAAACGCAGGTTTTCAGTTGTGATCGACCCGCGAAACGCGGTCCACGAGGTCCGATGGTGTTTGCAGTCTCCAATTTCGGCGCGAACATTGAAATTTTGGGGTCCTGGGGCGTTGGAAGAGAAGGGGAGCTCAGGGACGCACCCCCGTCCACCGAGGATGGACGTCCCCACCCCCGCCCCCCTCGCGTGCATCCCCGAGTTGGGCCCCAAGTCCCAAGGGAGCCTGCGCCAGGCTAGGCGAGAGGAACAGGCGCAACAGGAAAACGGAGGGCGAACCAGGAAACTCAGACAACAACTATTTCAATTTTGCTCCGAGCGATCCCCCTCCGAGAACGCGTTGCGGGACCCCCAGGCACTGTGCCCCTTGGGGCCTGGTTCGGAGGTTCAAAGGTGGGGTCCTGAGGGATGGGAACCGAAGGGTAGGTACGGGATCCAAGCGTGAATTTACATTCTTTGAGGCACCTCGTCCCCAGGACCCCATCTCTCAGGACCTTAGTGGGCACCAGAAACGGCAGGGCCGTTTTTTTACCGTTTCCGAAAAAGTATTTCTTCAAAATGGAAGATGGCGACTTGAAACGGACAAAAAATCGGCTCCAGGGTTGGAACCAGAGCCGGGACCGGTGAAAACACGGCGACGGAACTTGTAAAGCAACGGCGTCGGAACCGGCAGCCGAAACGGCAAAACGGAACCGGTAAAAAGAACGGCCTTGTCGTTTCCAGGGCCCACTAAGTTCAGGACCCCATCTTTCCGCAACCGATTGGTTGCCACGGTCTGCAGTCGTCATTCGTCGAAGGCGCGTGGCGGGTTGCCCCCACGCAGCACCGGGATATGGGGAGGGGGCGGCGGCTACTTTCGTGCAGGGTGCGCGAGGCGAGTCTGGGAGCCCTTTCCTTCGAATACGACAGCCCCGACCTGTCGGGCGAGGAACCAAGCGGGCGCCTCCTTCTCCTCCTCTTCCTCCTCCTCCTCCTCTGCCTCTCGCTCTTCCTCCTCCTCCTTAGGAGGAGGAGGACGAAGAGGAGGAGGGCGAGGCAGTCAAGTCGGGAAAGTGCGCGCGGCTCGTTGGGTAGCGTCTCGTGCTGCCCCCCGTGCCCGCAGCGCTTCCCGCGCCGTGTTCCGAGCTCTCCTTGGTTCGCCCCCATGCGTCTTTTCCTGGCTCGCCCTCCCTGACGAACGAACAGCACACACCCATACCCATAGGTGGGTCGTGGGAGGAGGACTCGTTCTGGGTATGGGTGCGGGTTGTCGGACCCTGGGGAACGCTTCCGTTCGAGCGGGGATCCCATCCGACAACACGCACCCATAGCCCTCTCTGACCCCCCTATGGGTATGGGTGTGTGTTATTGGTTCGTCACTCCCTGCCCTCAGTGCGCTCCTGTCCGCCGTCTTCCTGTCGCCAGGGCCGCGGTGTCTGCACGGCAGGCTGGGAGTTTGGACGCGTCACTTTGGATAGTAAAGTCCAGGCCTCCGAGACGGGGTCCGAGCAGATGGGCTCGGAGAATCGCGCCGCATCGCCGTTGCATCGACGATGCCTCTCGATGTGGAGCCCGTGCTTCCCCACGCCGACGTCGTCGATGCATCGCCGATTCATCCTCGGTGTATCGGCGATGCATCCGCGATGCGGCGTGATCCTCTGACCCCGTCTACTCCGACCCCATCTAGGAAGCTTCCGCTCGTCTTGGATTGCATGTATCTCGCCGAATAGCGCCCAATGGCGCTCAATAGCAGTGGCGCCGACTAGCGCTCGAGTAGCGGCTAATGGCGCCCAGTAGCGCCATGCGAGGGAGATGTGTTGTGTCCGTTTTGTGCCCATGGGAATCCATTGTTTATTCATGTTTGGCAGATCCCACTTTCCCAGACCAGCGCCAAAGCCAATCCAAGCAAACGCGACGACATCCCAAGACCAGCAACATACTGCCTCGACACTTTATCAGAAAGACAGTTGATGCCCCATGGCTGTTCACCGATCTCCTCGACAAACCCGCCAGCTAAGACCTGCGTGTCGTGACAGCGATCTGGCAACCCTGGACGGCGCTACTTGGGCAAAATTCACCTGCCTCCCAAGGCAGCGCCAAAACAGCCCAAAAGTCGGTCCAAGGAAGCCCTGCGACATGCCAGAACATGCCCAAGACAGCCGCAACCCCTCCCTGACCTGAGTCGCCCACCCTCCAGGATGAATCAGTGACTCCACCCGACGACCCCTCAAACCCCGACCTGGGTGTCACCACAACGCCCTGGTTTGCGCCTGAACCTAAGCTTGCGCGAAGCTTGCGCGTGGTTCTAGTGTATGTTTGTGTGTGTGTCGTTTGTGTGTCGCCCCCCCCCACCCACCCACCCCACCCCACCCTCTGGTTGGGCCCACTAACATTCGTATCTACCGCCCCTGGCGGCTTGTGTGTAGAACCCCCTGCCTCGCAGTGAGGACGTGGTCGGGTGGGCGGCTCCCTCCGTTGCGGGGCTCGCAGTCTCGGCTCAGCCTGCCTCTTTGGCTGCCCGTGGTCAGCATGACGATCGAGGACCCGCCCTCTTGTTCGCCGTCGTCGCCGCTGCCCTCCCCCATCGGCGTTGCCCCGCATCCGCCCCATCCACGCCCTGCTGCCTCCTTCTTCTCAAGTCCGTCAGCCCTGGTGGCCGGGGTGGTGGAGCCTCGTCAGGTCCAGTGTGCCACCCGGGCCTGACCATTGTTGGCATCGGAGGTCGCAATGACAGCTCGCAACACAACAAGAAGCAATCGTCCTCCCTGCATTCCTTTCTGTGCGTGGACCCGTGCCCCGCGGCCCTGAAGGTGACACTTGCGGAGGGCACCCTGATGCAGGCCGCCGCCCCTCCTCTCGCACACAGCACGGGCGTGTTGAACGTAGACGCTGTCGGCAGACATGTCTGCTGCGGTGTCTGCGACCGCCTGCGACTGCTGCCCCTGACGGCCCAGTCGACGCTGGGGTATGGGGCACCCCTGTTACGGTTCACTTGGTTGCAGACGTTCTTCCGATTTTGAATCCCGCCAGTGCAATGCCGAGCGGCTTCGGTCAGGAATGTGTCTAAGGTCCATCGAAACGGGCAGGTCAAGAGGGCCCACAAGCGCATGAGGGGTCTGCGTGCTGCATCTTGGTTCTGGACACTGTCCTGGGACTCTGACTCTTACTCTTACCCCTCTCTGGGCTGTGAACCCCCTGGAGGTCTCTCGCAGCTTCCCTGAGCGGTTTCTCGAGGACCTCACATGCGAAATCGCCGGCTTGGGATTCGGCGCAGACGTGGCGTCAGGAAGCGCGATTCGGGGGGCCTCATTTCCTCGCCTGCGCCAGGGTTCAAGAGGGCTTGATTTGGGTACGACGTTCGGGCGCGATTTGGATACAACTTTCTCGCGCAGAGTGATTGTTCCTCATACCATAAGTTCTGGTCTGTTGTTACTGTTGAGAACGCCTCCACCTCCTCACTCATTCCCGCTTACTTGCTCGATCTCGTCACACTCGCAGCACTTTTTACCCGCACTCGCTCTCATCCACATGCACTCCCACTTAGACTCATCATGCGAATACCACTCATACTTCAATTCACGAGCACTCATATACACTCACGCTCAACTTCGCTCTCACTCAGAGCTTCTCATACCCAGCCAAGTTATAGACCCATTCGCACATCACTTATAGAGAAAAAGCCCCATCACCGCCATTCGGCAGGCGTGGTTCTTGAGCACCCCAAGAAGGAGCAGTCAGGGGTGGGGACATGTGCCCGTTCGCGCCAATGTTGTAAGGATGTCTCAGGCGATTTGCCTCCTTGGTTGATCAGACATCTGTCTTTTCATAGCTCCAATGTCGTCGCGATAAAGCAGGAGTTGCGCTTGAGCGCGCCGTCAAGGAGCGGGGAGATTGGCGCGTTCGCGCCCAGATTGTGAAGATGTCTCCGGCGGCTTGCCCGTTTTTTGATCACGTTCTCTTTCCGGGGCCCTGTGCGCATCGCGATGTAGCTGGCGTGGCACTTCAGCACCACAAGCAGGAACCGCCAGGGCTGGAGACAGCTGCCGTTCGCTGCCCGATGATGGGTATGTCTCAGGCGGCTTGCCCTTTGGTTGCTCAGACTCGTTTGTCCGAGCCCCGTGCTCATCGCGATGTAGCAGGCATTGCACTTGAGCGCCCCAAAGAAGGAGCCGCCAATGTTGGGGACAGTTGCCCGTCCGCGCCCGGACTGTGGGGACCTTTGAGGTTGTTTGCTTGTTTGGTTGATACGAATGTTCTCTGTCAGAGCCCCGTGCGTACCGCCATGTAGCAGGCGTACCCCGAGGAGGTGTCGCCAGGGGTGGGGGGGCATTGGCCAGTTCGCGCCGAGATTGTGAGGATGTCTCAGGCGACTTGCCTGTTTGGTTGATCCGGATCCTTTCTTTTCGGAGCCCCATGCGCATCGGGATGTAGCAGGCGTGGCATTAGAACACATCAAGGAGCCGCCACCAAGTGGTAAGCATTTGCCCGTTCGCGCCCAAATGGTGGGGATGCATCAGGCAGTTTGCCCTGCAACCGCCTGAAACAGGCTAGGATTCTCTGATGTAGGTACTCGCAGACACGAGTGCCAGGAACTGGGATGCTCATGTGGGGACCTCCGCGTCGAATAACTCGACGTGGAGAACCCAACATGTGCATCTCATATTTCCTGCACGTCTCGCTGAGGGACTCCGTCTGTGAGCATTTGGGTGGGAGAGCGAGTCCGCGTATACGACAGGGGCGACAGCGACGACGACGACGACGACGTCAGTGACGTCCCCCCCCTCTGGACATCTCTCGGGAGAAAAGAGTGGAGCCTGAGCTGCCGCTTTCACTGCCACTGCAGCAGCTCAGGCAAGAGCACATGGCGCTGAGGCGAAAGATGAGGCTCGTCTCTCCAGCGGCCAGGGCGAGTCTTGCTCGCTACCCGACATATGTATGTATATATATATATACATGTGTATACATATATATGTATTTATCTATATTTACACATATATATATACATATATATATATAGATGTATATATATATAAGTTCTTGTATAAAGAACAGCAAAACAACAAAACAAAACGAAACGCCGTCGGGACGTACCGTCGGGCGCGACCGCCCGCACTGGGCGTCAGGCCGATCAGCTTGGCGAGCGTCAGCACTTGGCATCGAGCAGGGGGGCGCGGCTGGCTGCCGCTCATGCAATGGCATTGGGACAACAATCGGGTTGCTCTTCTGAGCGAGGGACAGCAAGACCGTCCGCACTTGGCAGCATGCAGCAGAGGGCGCGGGCGGCCACTCTTTTTTCTAGCAGCGTTATCTCGCCCCTCCCCCCTGGCAAGCAAAACGGCTGTCGCCACCGTCGGCTTCTCAGAAATCTCGAAGCAAAGAGCGCCTTCCTCACTGCCTCCAGCGGACTTCTTTCCGGCAACTCGCGAGGAGGTGGCCGCGCCGGCAGCATGTCCGCCATCCAGGTGGCACCGGAGAGCATGACATACAGGTTCAGCCACCATGCGTCGTCAGCGCCGCGTTGTCATTGGCGCTCCTGGCGGTCGCAGTCGATGGTCATTTCTGCGCGCATCGTCTGTCCCTTCCGGGCCGTCGTCGGCAGGTAGTGGATGCGCTACAGCATGAAGCCGAGGCTCTTCCGTTGTGCGCCGCGGGTGACGATTCCCAGGTGAAGCTAGTCTCCATCAAACGCACGCGGGAAACACGCCGCGAGCAATGTTCTTTTACCTTGGAATAGCCGCACGTGGGCGCTGGCGTGAAGCCATTGACCTACAATGAAATGCCCGTTTGCGCACGGCTCGGCGTTAAGACATCGCACGGTGCGTCTTGTTGTAGTCCCTCTGGATGCCTTGGTGTAACACGAAGTCGAGGATCGTGGCCCGCTGTTCCTGGACGGCGCCGTATTTTCCTGAACTGTCCAGCGGCGCGAACCCGCAGTCCCACGTGGGCGGGGAGCACGCCGTAGATCTTCAGTCACGGTTCCATTGCCCAGGGTTTTCTTGCCATGATGCTACTGACTGAGCTCTTCAATGGTACCTTCGCAAGGGAGCGTTCAGTAAACACTCTTTTGCTGAAACTATGTGGTGAGGATTCCGTCATTTAGGATCATGTTTTTTCGCATGTTGAGGATATCGCAGGCAGGATACTTCCGGATCTTTCAATACGTAATTATTTATGAGTCTGTGTGTGTTTTCCCCAACCATTGTGTGGTGTTGGGTCCTCGTTTTGACAAGGCGCCCCGCGTCACTCCTCTCCGCTCCTCCTCCCCCTCCTCCTCCTCCTCCTCCTCCTCCTCCTCCTCCTCCTCGCCCCCCTCACTTTGGCACACCCCTCACACGTTCCGTGGCCCCATAGGGAGCTCCACCCAAGGCCCCAATGGGGGTGGCCACATGCGTCCGACCACACCCAGTACAACGTTTCGTGGCCCCATAGGGAGCCCCACCTGCGGCCCCAGTGGATGTGGCCACCTGCGTCCGCCACACCCAGTATTGCGTTTCGTGGCTCCATGGGGAGCTCCACCTGTGGCCCCAGGCGGGGTGGCCACATTCGTCCGCCGCACATAGTACAGCGCTTCGTGGCTCCATGGGGAGCTCCACCTGTGGCCCCAGTGGGGGTGGCCACAGTCGTCCGCCGCACACAGTACAGCGCTTCGTGGCTCCATGGGGAGCTCCACCTGTGGCCCCAGGCGGGGTGGCCACATGCGTCCGCCACACACAGTATAGCGCTTCGTGTCCCCATAGGGAGCTCCACCTGTGGCCCCTGCGGCGATGGCCACATGCGCCCGCCACACACAGTACAGCGCTTCGTAAACCCATAGGTCACTCCACCTAAGCCCCCACTGTGGGTGGCCACATGCGTCCGCCACACCCAGTACAGCGTTTCGTGGCCTTACAGGGGGCTCCAGCTAAGGCCCCAGTGGGGGTGGCCACATGCGTCCGCCACACCCAGTACAGCGCTTCATGGCGCCATGGGGAGTTCCACCCAAGGTTCCAGTGGGGGTGGCCACATGCGTCCGCCACACACGGTACAGCGCTTCGTAAACCCATAGGGAATTCAACCTAAGGCCCCACTGTGGGAGGCCACATGCGTCCGCCACACCCAGTACAGCGTTTCGTGGCCCCATAGGGAGCCCCACCTGCGGCCCCAGTGGGGGTGGCCACCTGCGTCCGCCACAGCCATGTCGGCACACCCTTCACACGTTTCGTGGCCTTCTAGGGGGCTCCAGCTAAGGCCCCAGGGGGGGTGGCCACGTGCGTCTGCCACACCCAGTACAGCGCTTCGTGGCGCCATGGGGAGTTCCACCGACTGCCAGTGGGGGTGGCCACATGCGTCCGCCACACCCGGTACAGCGTTTCGTGTCCCCATAGGGGGCTCCACCTGCGGCCCCAGTGGGGGTGGCCACATGCGTCCGCCACACCCAGTACAGCGTTTCGTGACCCCATAGGGAGCTCCACCTAAGGCCCCGGTAGGGGTGGCCACATGCGCCCGCCTCGCCCAGCACAGCGTTCCGTGGCCTTATAGTGGGCTCCAGCTAAGGCCCCAGTGGGGATGGCCACATGTGTCCGCCACACCCAGTACAGCGTTTAGTGGCCCAATAGGGAGTTCCACCGAAAGCGCAGTGGGTGTGGCCACATGCGTCCGCCACACCCAGTACGCCTCTCACACGCTTTGTGGCCCGTTAGTACCATGCCAAGCCCAGTATCCACAGTCATATAAATGTGCACTAGGCGTATCCATGCTCGCATTCATGCACAAAGACTTACTCGCACGCAAATTTAATCACAATCAGACGCGCTCGTGCTCAGTCTCACCCGCGCTCAGTCCCCCGTGCTAAGGCCAATCGTTTCCGTTCGTGTTGTGTACCCCGCCACGCATATGTCGGCACACCCCTCGCACGGTTCGTGGCCCCATAGGGATCGCCACCGATGAAGATATTCACAATTGTGATATTCACAATTCCATATGGTCGTCTTCGAACGTGGCCCTTCTTCGTCGTCAAAGAGGCCCTGCGTCTTCAATTGAACCCCTTTGCATGGAATCGCCGTAACGACTTTGCAACGTCGGCAGCCTTTCGCGTTGAAACGTCCAGTACTGGTGTCCGGACCCCGCTGGGAAAGACATTGTGCAACGTCGGAACGTCTTCGATTCCAGTCTGGGGAAATGTGATTCGATAGTAGTTCTGCAATGCCGGGCGCGGTGTTTGCTCAAACGACGGCGTCTGTTTGCTTGGCAGTGGCGGCCACCCATCATTTCCGCAGCGTTCTGAAAGTATCCCCTCTCCGTGCAAAGTTGTCGGCGGAAGCCGCCACGGAGATGCGGCGAGCATATGCGGGCCGTTGCGATCGGGAGAAGCTAGCTACGCCGCAGGTTGAGGGCGTTTGTGTTACAGGGCTCCTGGCCCGCTTCGCACACCGTGCATGCCGCGGCCGCTGGGCCCACAGGGTGTGGGCGCTCCTTGGGCATCCCGCCTCGTGCCTCTGACGAGTGACGACCGGATGCCGCGGCCGCCATGCCCAGAGTGTGCCGGTTATCGGTGGGCATTCCGCTTCGCGTTCCTGGGAGGGGATCGATCGGAGCAAACGTGCTGTTTGGCAGATTGGGTGTCGCTGGCTGGCGGCCAGGAGTGGCGGAGTGAACATCTGTGGAGATTTCTTGTGCAGCTTGCCGCGGTCTTTACACAGCGCTCTTTCGAACTCCTTCTTCGCTGGGAGGTCTGAGTAGGGAAGCTGGCACTCTGAGGGCAAGTTTTTTTTTTCTTCGAGACACTTTTCTTTTTGGGGGCCCTTGTTTTGGAAGGGGCTGTCCCCCACCTTCAGCTGGGACGCTGCATATGGATCCCTCCTCACCGAGCAAGTCGGACCTCGGTCAGGGCCATGGCCCACATGGATCGGTGGATCGTGAGTACTTACGAGGGTCGCCCGATCGGTTCACTCGAGACTGTCTGGGTCTTCCATGAACTTCCAGTTGAGGCACTTGCTGCGCACCCTCCATTGCAGGGGGTGGTATGTTGCTCGGCTTGCGGCCGCCACTGAGGATTACGCAGGCAGCGACGGCACGCTGAAGAACCTCTGGTTGAAGGTGCAGAAGGACACCAAGGACAGTGCACTGCCCAGACTGCCCCCCAGGTTGCAGAGAATTGTTAGGGGCAAGCCGCCAGAGGTACAAGGAGAGGGCGAGAGAGAAAGAGAGAGAGGAGAAGGAGGAGGAGACGGAGCAGGGAGGGGAGAGGAGGAGGAGGAGGAGCAGGGAGGGGAGAGGAGGAGGAGGAGGAGGAGGAGGAGGAGGAGGAGGAGGTAGGAGGAAGAGATGATGATGATGATGATGATGATGAGATGATGATGATGATGATGATGATGATGATGAGGAGGAGGAGGAGGAGGAGGAGGAGGAGGAGGAGGAGGAGGAGGAGGGGAGGAGGAGGAAGAGGAGGGGAGAGGGGGGAGAAGGATGGAGAGGAGAGGAGCAGGAGGAGAAGGAGGAGGAGCAGGACGAGGAGGAGGAGGAGGAGGAGGAGGAGAAGGAGGAAGAGAAGGAGGTACAAGGAGAGTCGAAGCAGAAACAGATGACCAGGCACAAACTGTTCGGAGCTCCGCGCGGCTGTCTTGGGTCGACGATGGGCCCCCAATGGCCGGCGCCGCCCCTGGCGCGCGGAGCGCGCCAGGGGGGAGGGGCCCAGCGCCGATCCGAGGATTTCGCGCGAAGTTCCGAATGTGGGTCTTGACGTACGTAGTTCGCAATCCGAATGGGAGTCTTCTGCGGCCGCCCGCATTTGTTTGACGGGAGGTCCCTCCCTCCTCCTCCTCCTCCTCCTCCTCCTCCTCCTCCTCCTCCTCATTCTCCTCATTCCTCCTCCTCCTCCTCCTCCTCCTCCTCCTCCTCCTCCTCCTCCCCTCCTCCCTCCGCCTCCGCGGCCGCCCCGTCTGTCTCAGGCTCTCCTCTGGCATGCTGGGCACTTCGATTTTCGGTCGCCCCGTTTAAAGCTCGACCGCCGGCGCAGTATCATCTGCCTCGCCGCCGACGTAACAAAATATGTATGTAGTTGTTTGCTCCTTCTCTAGAGGGTGGCAGGGGGCCACATGATGATATGGTCCTTCCCTACAGTGGGGGCGGGGCAGCAGAAACTGACATCGGGTGTAGTCAAGGTCGCTGCGGCCGTGACCGCGAAAAATGGCACAGGTCGTAGCCGGCTAGGTTTGACCGCTTCTCGAGAATCGGCATTCGGTCGTCATGGGGTCCATCGTGGACCCGTTTTTGGATCAAATATTGTGCTCAGAGCGCAGATGCAAATTGTTGCGGACGACGAGATCAGCAATGTTATCTCAGGAATGGGTCCACGACTGGGACACATGCTTGATCGATCCGTAATAGCGTTTCGCTAGATTGTTCTCATAGTGGCAAAAAGGAGCCACAGAAGAGCCCCACGGGGGACGTGGAGCCCTATCCCGCCGGGTGCGGCAGGGTCCAGCGGCGGTTTCGCTTGAGATTTTGCAACAGTTTGTTCAGGAATCGTCCTCTCGTCTGAATGCTGGCTACATTGTTGGTCTGGACGGCCACGGTCCCTTGTAACAGACGTAAACTAAGGTTTACATGGCGTGACATGGTTTTCAGGAGTCGTGCTCTCGCTCCAATGTCAGCTAAGCTTGTTCCGAACAGCGCTTCGCCAGAAGAGCCCCACAGGGGAGACAGGGACCCTAGACGACCCCATGCGGCACGGGTCCAGGAGCTGTGCTCTCGCCTCAAGTCCGGCTACCCGGCTACATGTTCGGTCTGGACCGCCACCATTCTTTACGAAGAACACCTTGCGGAGCGCATGAGGCGTTCCAGAAAGGGCGTCGCTTTCGAGCGTCGAAGGAAATTTATAATTTCTGCCTCGGCGGAAGGGCGGCGGGAGCCCGCGGAAGTAGAACGAGGCCGCATCCGCCAGCGGAAGCTGACGGAAGGCAGGGCTCCGTCGGCGATGCGTTCCCAAGAGATGTCGACATGTCTGGGCTCAGGTTTTCCGCAACTGGCCACAAGGCCTTGCTTTTGCCTCATACATTTCTCGTCCGGACAGCCATTATTCCTCGTATCGTTCACGTACCAATTGAGGTGCAGATGGTTGCGATCTCGCTTCAATGTTGCCTGCATATTTGGTCCGGACGGCCACGATCTCTTGCTCATGGCCGTGCTCTGACCCTCGTCCCGGAAGCTTTCCTCCCCTGTCCCGCCTCTTCACCGTTGTTGTTGTTGTTGGTGTTGGTGTTGGTGTTGTTGTTGATGGTGTTGGTGTTGTTGTTGTTGTTGTTGCTGTTGTTGTTGTTGTTGTTGGTGTTGTTGTTGTTGTTGTTGTTGTTGTTGTTGTTGTTGGTGTTGTTGTTGTTGTTATTGTTGTTATTGGTGTTGTTCTTGTTGTTGTTCTTGTTGTTGTTATTGTTGTTGTTCTTGTTGTTGTTGTTAGGGTGCGTTGCTGGGGTACTCGTGCTTTTGCCTCCGAGCCCTCCTGTGTTGGGGTTCTCGCTCTGAATAAAGCACTGTGGTCTCCGCCTTCTACTCCCCCCCTCCTCTTGCCTCCTCCTCCTCCTCCTCCTCCCCTCCTGCTCCTCCTCGTCCTCCTGCTTCTCTTTCTTCCCCTCCTCCTCCTCCTCCTCCTCCTCCTCCTCCTCCACCACCTCCTCCTCCTTCTCCTCCTCTCCTCCCTCTGGGGGGCTGCGAAGTGCGCCACCGTCGCCACTTCCGTGGGCTCCTGAAAGGGAGGTCCCGCGGGGTGGAGGCGCACGCAGATCCAGCCGACACGTCGCGGCTCCCTGGTGCGCTGCGCAGTGCGCCATGGTCACCGCCTTCGTGGGATCCTGGAGGGTCCTACGGAGTGGAGTTGTACGTAGATTCAGCCGAGACCTCGCGGTTCCTTCGGAGGCTGCAAAGTGCGCCACCGTCGCCACGTTCGTGGGTTGCTGGGAGGTCCAGCGGAGTGGAGTTGTACGCAGATTAAGCGGAGACCTCGCGGTTCCCTGGAGGGAGGGGGGCGGCGACGTGCATCATTGTCGCAAATTTCGTGAGCTCTTGGGAGGTCCCGCGGAGTTGAGTTGTACGCAGATCCAGCCGAGACCTCGCGGCTGCCCGGGAGTCTGCGAATTGCGAAATTGCCGTCATTTCATTGGGCTCCTGGGAGGTCCCGCGGAGTGGAGTTGTGTGCAGACCCATCCGAGACTTCGCGGCTCCCTGGGGAGGTGCGAAGTGCGCCACTTTTGCAATTTTCGTGAGCTCCTGGGGAATCTGGCGGAGGGGATCTGTACGCGGATCCAGCTGAGTCCTAGCGTCTCCCTGGTGGGCTACGGCCTGCGAAACTGTCGCTACTTTCGTGGGCTCCTGAGGGGTCCAGTGGAGGGTAGTTGTACGCAGATCCAGCCGAGACCCCGCGGCTTCCTGGGGATCTGCGAACAATGAAAATGTCTCCATGTTCGTGGGCTGATGGGAGGTCCCCCGGAGTGGAGGCGTACGCAGATCCAGCCGACACGTCGCGGCTCTCTGGGGAGCTGCGAACCGTGAACATGGCGCCACGTTCGATTGCTCGGGGTGTCCAGTGGGGGGGAGCTGTGCGCAGATCCAGCCGAGACCTTGCGGCTCCCTGTGGGCTGTGAGCTGCGCAAACTATTACCATGTTCGTGGGCTCCTGGGAGGTCCAGCGTTTAGTGGGCCCTGGAAACGGCAGGGCCGTTTTTCTACCGGTTCCATTTTGCATTTTTTTGCCAGTTCCGACGCCTTTTTTTACCGGTTCCGTCGCCGTTTTTTGACCGGTTCTGGCTCAGGTTCCAATCCTGGAGCCGTTTTTTTGCCGTTTCCGGTCGCCGTTTTTTTGCTTTTTCCATGTTCAAGGTGCATGTTTTGGGGAAGCGGTGAAAAAACGGCCCTGCCGCTTCCGGGGCCCACAAAGGTCCAGCGGAGTGGAGTTACGCGCGGTCTCAGCCGAGACCTTCCGCCCCCCTCGGAGGGCTGCGAACTGCGAGGTTGCTGCCGCTCTCTCGTGGGCCCAGGGGGCCACGGGCGGACCTCGCTGCTCGCTTTCGGGTTTTCGTTCAGTGGGGCCTGTCCCTCTACAGGGGGAGTATTCAAACATATGTTTTTAATTGTCTGGGGGATATTTGTTGAGGAGCATTTATTCATTTTCCAATATTTTTGCATCTGTTTGAGATTTCGCCCAAAGTCCCCCTGTAGGGGGACATGCCCGACCTCAGGTTTTCGGCACCCGCACGGAGCGCCGGAGGAGAGAGGCCGCAAAGTTGCACAAGCCCGTCCTCGCCGAATGTGTTTGCGCGGATGAAGACGGCGCCTGCCATCGGTTTCAGCCGCGTGTCTGCGCATTCTTCTTACTACAGAGCCGTTTTTATACATGCTCCGCGTGCGGATCATGTCTTGAAATGCAGGGATTAAATATGAAAAACAACGATGAGCTCATGCATACATTTATGCATAAATTAATCATGTATTGAAAATCCTATATGTTTAAAAATCCTACATATTTAAAATTGCCCTGCACTCCAAAGACGCAGGCGGCAAAGCCTGCAGTCTGCTGCGATCCGCCACACGGAAAAAAGCAGGAGCTCCCCATAGCGCGCGGCGCTGTCACGTCACACATAGCGCGCGGCGCCGGCAGCTCGCAGAGCGCAGCGCGAGGGGGCGCCGTGCAGCGCAGGGCGCCGCCCTGTGTCCATGCCGCGCCCACACGTCAGCTTCTCCTCGACGGCGCGGCGCTCGCACACTTGCCGCGCCCAGCGCAGGCCGCTACTATGTGACCGCGCGCACGGCGTCGTTCTGTACAGGCAGCGCGCGGCGCTGCCACTCCCGCCGAGCACTGGTCCAGTTCCCACGTCCTCGTGTGCCTCTGCGCGCGTCGTGGTGCTTCTTTTGTCTGCCCGTGGTCGCGCTCTGCCATTCCAGTCGCAAAAGTGATGCCGCGACTGGGGACCATCTGACTGTGCCCCGTCGTTCCTTGGCCAAGCGTTTATGGGTACACTACGTCCTTCAATGTTGCTGTTTTTGTTTTGGGCGGTCCTGGGTATTTTCGTTTCATGTGTGCAAAGGGCTGGGTACGTTCCCATGTAAGTTCTGGCACAAAGGACCGAGGAGTGAAATGCTGCGTTTGTCCAACTCTAGCTGGGCATGTGTTTTTCCCAACCATCCTGAGGTGTTGGGTCCTCGTTTTGAAGAGACGGTCCCCGCGTTCTCCTCCTCTCCTCTCCCTCTCCTCCTCCACCGTCCGCATGCGTCCCGCACGCCCAGTACAGCGTTTCGTGGCCCTCCTCCCCCTCCTCTCTGCGCTTCACCCACCCAGGACAACGTTTCGTGGCCCCATAGGGAGCACCACCGAAGGTCCCAGTGCTACGGTCCGCATGCGTCCCGCACACCCAGTACAGCGTTGCGTGGCCCCATAGGGAGCCCCACCGAAGGTCCCAGTGCTACCGTCCGCATGCTTCCCGCACACCCAGTACAGCGTTTCGTGGCCCCATCGGGAGCTCCACCGAAGGTCGCAGTGCTGGCGTCCGCATGCGTCCCGCACACCCAGTACAGCGCTTCGTGGCCCCATAGGGAGCTCCACCGAAGGTCGCAGTGCTACCTTCCGCATGCGTCCCGCACACCCAGTACAGCGTTTCGTGGCCCTCCTCCCCCTCCCCCGTGCGTTTCACCCACCCAGTACAGCGTTTCGTGGCCCCATAGGGAGCCCCACCGAAGGTCCCAGTGCTACGGTCCGCATGCGTCCCGCGCACCCAGTACAGCGTTTCGTGGCCCCACAGGGAGCCCCACAGAAGGTCCCAGCGCTACCTTCCGCATGCGTCCCGCACACCCAGTACAGCGTTTCGTGGCCCCATCGGGACCTCCCCCTCCTCCCTGCGTTTCACCCACCCAATACGGCTTTTCGTGGCCCCATAATCAGGGAGCTTCACCGAAGGCCCCAGTGCCCCCGTCCGCATGCGCCCCGGAAGCCCTGTTCGGCATTTTCACCCACCCAGTGCAGTGTTTCGTTGCCCCATAGGGGGCTCCACCCAAGGCCCCAGTGCTACCGTCCGTATGCGTCGGGGAAATGTAGTGTGGCAATTTCACTCGCGCAGTGCAGCGTTTCGTGGCCCCATAGGGGGCTCCACCGAAGCCCCCAGTGGGACCGTCCCCATGCGTCCCTGTAACCCAATTTATCATTTTCGCTCACTCAGTAGAGCGCTTCGTGGCCCCATAGGGAGCTCCACCGAACCCCTCAGTCGGACCGTCCGCATGCGTCCCGGAAACCCACTTCGGCACACCACCCACACAGTACAGCGTCCCCCCCGCCCAGTGCAGCGCTTCGTGGCCCCATAGGGAGCTTCACCGAAGCAGCTATTCAAAATTACGGTACCCACAACTGCATATGGTTGGGACTTTCGCCAGGATATTTTTTGTGGGGGCCGACGAATTGTAGACCTGAACTCGAGTGTCCTTCAACATGTTCGACGCGACAGTATTTCTTGCGATTTCCTGCCGCGTTGGTCGAACCTGGAACGGAAGTCCCCCGCGACTGCTGCCATCGCTTGAAAAGTGTGCGAACGTACGGAAATCTAAGCGCGGCTCGACTCCCAGATGTGCACCTGCGTGTGTTTTAATGTTCGGTTCAACGTGGTTTCTCCTTCAGTTGGGCTGCGGCACGAAGACTAAACGACATTAGCTTCTCCTCGTGTCAGCCATAATCGCATGTTGATAGTTCGATTCGCTCTTGGCCCGTAATTTAGCTACGGATCTGGCTTGCGTGGTCCCACCGCACTTCTGGTTTGAGAGGTATGGTTGAAGCCCCATGCAACGTTCACCTGTGAAGAAGGACCGCAACACCAAACCACAGCCCCGTGACATCGCGTCACCGCGACAGCGGGCATCACGACGCAACGACGCAGCGAGATCCACCAAAGGCCCGTCACCTCATATCGCCCCGCTATGTTCCACCTGGGCGAGGAGCCGCAGCAGCAACAGAAATTTGTCACCCCAGCCGTGGGTATTCATGCACCGATTCGCTTGATAACAACCCCTCATCTAAATTCTGGGTTTAGGGCGCAGTGGCGTGCGCTAGCGTCCTGTAATCGATGAGAAGGCGTTGGCCTAGCGTCGGCAAGGGTGGGTAGCGACGGCTAGCGTCGGTTAGCGTCGGCTCGCATGAGCCAGCGGGATGACGCGGGAGGTTCCTGTGAGTTGCCACGGCAGTTCCACATGTAACACATTAGCGATCCGAAACTCGAAGCCGCGATTTTTGCGTTCCGGTGGCTTCACAGCGGCCCCGCACCCAATTGTCGATGTCCCTTGGCTTCCGGCCACACCCCTGACCTCCTCGCTCTTTGTGTGTAGATCGGTCAGGATGCCACTGCTTGTCTGCCTGAAGTGTGCATGTGTACGCTTGACATAATCAGGGAAACCACCCTGGAGCAAGGCACTCCTTCACCGACCCATATGTGGGACGCCGTGTTGGTGTGGACGCGGCTGGACCAGAAGGTTGAGACTCGTCGGCTGGTCCCCCCAGAAAGAGGACGACGTAGGACCAGCATTTTGCCTGCAGACGCAGCCACATCCACATCCACATCTTGAGATGATGCAAATTTACCGTCCGTTCGCTCTTGGGCTGCAGGTAGACGCTTTTTGTTACCCGCTGACGGGCCACATTCAGCGAATGGGTCCCATGTGCCCCCAGAGTTGGAGATGCGAGGCGTCTCATTCGGGACGCCGAAGAACATGGGGACCACACCACCAGGAACACCTTCCTGTCGCAATGGTGGTGGTGCCGATTCTCGGTGGTACGTGGCCCCCTCCCTCCCCGTACTCTGTGGTCCGTGCGGCTACCGTCAGCTCGCCGACGCGGGGCTCTCCAGAGGCGCTGGGTTTTGAGACCCGCTCCGAAGCTGTGCCCTTCCAGCTGAGAGTCGCCCTGTCTCTTCGGAGAGCGGGCGTTTACGATGAGAGCGCGGGGGTGTTCCCAGCCCCCGGATCTACCGAAATCCCGCGGCTTCAGGGTTTGAATGTCTTGTGGAGGTTTTTTGTGGCCGAAGTTCTAGAGATTTGTCTCTGCGCCTTGACCCAGACAAAAAGGAGCATCCCCGAGGACAACGAAGGACCACTAGATGAGAGCGTCCTGATCGAGGGCTGGGTCCTCAACGCCTCTTTGGACCGATGCCTTGGGGCCGTGTGTCCCTAGGGGAGCTTTCCAGCGGAGTCGAGCTGGGAGGATGGAGGATCGAGTTTTATCAGCAGTTTCGCTACCATCCGTGCGTCTCCAGAGACTTTCGTGGACAGGCTTGACAGACTTTCTCACCCTCAGGCTCGACAAAAGGTGTTTGACCCATGAGGTGTCCCGCGGGACAGTGCTTGAGAATCTGCGGGTTCGGATGATGGTCAATTTGTGGATGCCTAGTGATTCGTGGTTCGACACAGAGTGCCCAGGCCCGCATGCGCCAATGTTCTGGCCTGCCATGTCCGGGGCTGTGCGCGGTGCTGGCAGTCCTGTCCGGCAAGAGTGCGAGTGCGCGGCATTGGTGAAACAGCCTGGCCACATTCGGTGCCGCCTTGACCAGAACAAGGACATGAGGATGCGGAGGGGAAACGAATAGGGAGGATACTTCGCCGTGCCGTCGCCGCGTCGCTTCATCATATCCTTCTTCTGCCAGTTTTCTCCGCTTGCAGCGCTCCCCCCCCCCCCCCACCCCCCCCCACCCCCCTCTCGGGGGGACGGGATTACAGGGAAGGGGCTTCCCTTCGAGTAAGCTGCGACGTTGCTCAGATTGGCTTCCCCCCCGTGTCGGGGGGGGGGGCAGATTGGCTTTCCCCCCGGGTCGCGGCCGCTCCCCTCCGCGTCGCGGCCGCTCCCCTCCCCCGAAGGGAGCCGCCCGGGTGCCCCCCCTCGCTCGGGGGGACGGGGTTAAAGGGAAGGGGCTTCCCTTCGAGTAAGCTGCGACGTTGCTCAGATTGGCTTCCCCCCCGTGTCCGGGGGGGGCAGATTGGCTTCCCCCCGGGTCGCGGCCGCCCCCCTCGCCCAGGGCAAGTCGACCACTCCCCCTCTTGGAGCCGACGTGGCGGTGTCGTGGGCAGCTCCCCTCCCCCGAGGGGAGCCGACCACCCTTCTTGGAGCCGACGTGACGATCTCGTGGGCGACGACGACCCACGCAAGATGACGAGACCAGGATCCGTTTTCCACACGCCGACAGGGTCGGCGGATTTATTCTAGATTCTAGACGCCTCGCGTGACCCCACCAGCACCAGAAGGTTCCAGTGGGTCTCTCGTTACCCTGCCTACCTCACGGTACCTGGACCTCGGGTTCGGCAAGTGTGGCTTTGTACGCTCGTTGGCCGACGTTGTCCTGCATGGACTTCGCTTTCGACCAGTGTTACAGGTTTTTCTGCCGTTTGCAGTCTTGTCGGTGATGAGGTTGCCCCTCTTCACCTTTGCGCCGACACGATGTTTTGGCATTTGTGTCGCCTACTTCACGGATGTCGTCGGGGTGTGCCTGTCGGTCTAGTTCGTCTCAGACGGTGCTGTTTGTCTGACTCACACCGAGCGATCGACCTCTGCGTGTTTATGGTCGCGCCGCCGCGCCATTTTGGCTGCGCCTACTTGCTGGTCGCCACCGGGATTTCCAACGCTACCGGGTGTGGGAGTATCGGTTCTGGCTCTCCTTCTAAGTGGCTGCCCGCTCGCTCGCTTCGCTTGCCTTTCTTCTCCTGCTGCCGAGTCGCGGCCCGACTAGTGTTCGGACGGCTTTCGACCCGCCTCGCGAGCCTGTTGACCAAAAAGTACCCCCACCAGCCCATCCAGAAACAATGCCCAGGCGAGATGCCCTTTTCAGGGATTTCGAGGACCATGCCGTGGAATAGCGGGATGGGGAAGCCGTCGTACCCCAAGAGTGGGAGAATGGAGAAGGAATCGCAGGAGGAGGAGTACCAGGGGGAGGGCGAGGGGGATGGGGAGAGGGAAAAGGGAGGAACAGGGGGAAAAGGAGCAAGACGAGGAGGAGGAGGAGAAAAGGCAAGCAACATCGCCGGAGGCCTCTTGGATGATCGGGTTCTCTTCGGATGTCTCTTGGAAACTTCTTGGAGTCCTCTTGGAGCGTCTTGGGGGTTTCTTGGCGGTCCTGAGAGCCTCTGATCGCGTCTCGGGTGCCTCAGGAGACACTCCCTCTTAGGGCCTCTCCTGGGTCTCTTGGGAGCCTCTCGGGGGCCTCTCGCGGCCTCCTGGGCGCCTCTTGGGACACTCTTGGGAGCCTCGGGGGCAACTTCGGGCCATCATGGAAGAGATCGGTCGAAGAAGGGGGTAGTAAAATACAGTCCCCCCCAGGACGCCAACATGGGCCCTAAGCGTATGTAGAATCAACGAAGTCTGCCTTCTGGCCCTCCTGGATGCTCTAATGGGTCGCGACCCCCCCTGCCCCGCCAGACGCAGTGGCTGGGGGCAGGGGGAGGGGTCAAGGCAGCTTCCTCGCCCACAAGCTGTCCCGCTTCCTCCCACCCGCCTTTCGTCTGTGGATGGGCAGCTACTGGGAACCATCACAGACCCCATGTGCGCGATGGGGCGGGGGGCGCCACGCCTGCTAGGCGGTCCAGGTGCGCCAGGCCCCCCTAGGGGCCCGAGCGTGCCAGCTGCACGCCTCGCGCGCCAGCTGTGCCACGTGCTCCACGGGCGCCGGGTGTGCCGCATGGTGCAGCCGCGCCAGGTGCGCCACGTCGGGGGCACGCGCAGAGTGTGCCGGGTGCGCCCGCGCAGGTGACAGCACACATCGGGAAAACACGCTGGCCCCTACAGTGCTTGTCGAAAACCAGTGCGCAATCGCGGCAGGAAAGCCATCATGATCGCCCACCAGGCGATGTGCTAGCATCCCCGCAGCCCTTGTCAAACACCAATGGACAGAGATCGCGAGGCGGCCGCGCATGATCCAGATTTTGCTGCGAAGCGCATGTTGCAGTGTTTCTCGACGCGGATGGTGGCCTTGCGCGAAGCAGGCAATATGAGGGCACCCCGGCCGTCCCTGTCAAAAAAACCATACAGAGTTTTCGCGGGGCCCAGGAGCATGACCCAAGATTTTGCCCCAATGCGTGCTTAGTATTAATTTTTGATAGGGCTGGGGCGGTGGTGGTTCGTAAGAGTCCTGGTTCGCTGCTGGTCGCCTGGGGGAGGGGGGCCCACTAATAGAGAGCAGTGATAAACCCCTTCCTGAAGGGGAGCAAGGGGGTTGGAAGAAGAAGAAGCACCGTAAACCGCTCGCGCCCGAAAGGGCTGGTGGGATCAATGGTCGCCAATAGGCGTCAGTACACACTAGTAGGCGCTGAGAGTCGTTCATTGGCACCGGTGGGCGCTTATGTGAGCACTACCAGGCGCTCATCGGGCGGAGCCTGTGTTGAAACCGTTCTCACACAGCATTCACATAACCGATGCAGATGTGCACGTCGACCAGAGGCACCGCGCAGCACAGTGGGCGGGAGCCGATGCGCGCGTGCAGGCGGCGTGGCGACTCGTGCCTGCGCCCGTGCCGGCACACAGAACGCCGGGCCAGACGCCAGCGGGGTTCGCAGCCGAGTACCCGCGGCACGGCGCACCGGTCCTGCAGGCGGCCCGGAGTAGCAGGTCGGCCCTGCCAGAGCAAGGGTACCCTCGTGTCCCGCGTCTTGCGACCCATGCCTCCTGCATGTCTGTGGCAGCGTGGCCCTCGGAAGGGTCTTTGTGTCCTCGCGCGTGTCCTCTCCAAGTAAGTCCGACTGGCAGGCTCCTCTCAGCTCATGTCCGTTTGCATTGCTCCCTCGCGTCTGGACGACGCGGCCACCAGCTGCGGGTGGGTGCGCGTGCCCAGTGTGCCTGCTTCCTGCTTCCTTCCGTGGCCCGTCCTCCCTCGGTCGTGGGCGTCCTGTTCGTTGTCATGATCCTGCTCCTCATCTCGCCGGTGACGGGCGCGAACCTATTCCAGTACGGCACAAAGGCGGAGCCCCCCTTGCCGTCCAGGAAGGAGGTTGTGCAGGGGCCGGGGGGCAGAGGCAGAGGGGTCAGGTTTCCTCCTGGGCGTGGGCCGCTGCTGCGTGGAGCGCTGCCGCCTCTCGGCAGCGAGCGAGGGGGGAAGTGACAAGGAGACGGCCTTCTCGGCAGGTTCGGAAGTCCCCCGGCCTTCTGCGAAGCCTTCGAAGCCTCCCCCGACGACAAGCCAACAAACTTCTCAGAAGGCGCGAGGGCTTCTGAGAAGTCCCGCCGAGCGCAGGGCGGGGGCGGCTGAGGCCGCGAGCTCTCTCCCGGATCCAATGGCCCCCCCCTTCGTCTCCGCGCCGTGCGCTCCTTGGACCTCCCCCCTCGCCTGCGCACGTGCCTCGGGCCAGCGAGGCGCCAGCCGCCTCCTCTTGGGGGCCCCCCTCTCTCGGGCGGCCGATGTCGTCATCGGAGCCCCGTCGCGCCTGGCTCGGTTCCAGTCCCCGGCCTCTCGAGCTCCGGCCGGCCGCGGGCACGACGGGCCTCCCCCCCAGGGCCGCCCGAGCCTTCTTCCCCTACTCCCAGCTCCCTCGCCTCTCTCAGGCGTACCGTGGACTCTCCCCACATCCTTCCTCCTGCTCCTCCTCCCCCTGCTTTTCCTCTGGGCTCTCTCCCACCTGCTCCCCCCCGCCTGCTCCTCCTTCTCCTGCTCCTGCTCCTGCTTCCTCCTCCTCGTCCTCCTCCTCCTCGTCCGGCTGGTTCGCCTCCGTATCTCCCATACTCACGTCACCCCTCCTCCTCCCCCCCTCCTCCTCGTCCTCCTCGAGGGATCCCATGAGCTAGTCTAATCTAAGTATGTTCCTCCTCCTCTTCTTCCTCCTCCTCAACTACCCCTCCTTATCCCCTCCTGTGTTCGCATCCTCCTCCTCCTCCAGCTCCTTCTGCCTGACCCTTCTGCTCCCTCCATCATAACTGAGTTCCCTGGCGGCCGCTCGGGACGATCCGGGCACCCATGGAACGCTGTCGGCGAGGCGCAGCTGCTGGAGAGCATCCTGAGGCTGGCAGGCGGCATGCAGAGCGGCAGAAAGCCTAACATCTCGAACCTGTCCCCCCTGCTCTCGTTGCCCCTCTCTCCCCTCGTTGCTGCTCCCTCCTCTCCTCTCGTTGTCCCTCCTCTCGTTGCCCCTCCCTTCTGCTCTTCTCCTTCTCCCGTTGCCCCTCAGTCCTGCGCCTCCCTCCCCCGCCAGTGGGAGGAAGCCGGGCCCACGCCCAGGCCGCGTGCAGCCCGCGCGCCCCTCTCGCCTTGCTCCTCGGCCCACCTCTCCTCGCTCCGGCTCCCTCCTCGTCGTCGTCCTCCACCTCCGCCCCCCCTGTTCCTCGTCCTAGTGCTGGGCCTTCTCCCCGTTCTCCTCCTCCTCCTCCTCCTCCTCCTCCTCCTCCTCCTCCTGCTCGTCCTGCCACCCCCCCTCTTCCTCCCGACCCCTTCCCCAAGGGTCGGCGTTTCACCACGAACCGTGTTTGGACGGTCCCGAGGCCTGGCGAGGGCCCTCAGGAGCCAGCAACGACCTAAAGTATTACGTCGTGGTCATGTCGCGGCGCCAGCGTGTCTGGCGGCCTCCTCCCCCTTGTGTTTTAGGGGGTCGCGACCTTCATGGCTCCGGCCCCCCTCAAAACGAGGGGGGGGGGGCAGCGACTCGAAGCGCGATGCTTGTTTGTCGGCAGGAGGGGGGAAGCATGCCCCCCCCCCTTCGGACAGGGATCGCGGCCCCGCCCCGTGCCGGTTGCAGGCCGCAGGTCCCGCAGCCACCCTGCTGGCCCGTCCCGCCCACCCCTGGCGCCCCGTGGCCCCCTGCAGACGGACACCTACGAGACCATCGGGGACAAGGTCGCAGCCAAAGCCCCAGAGGCGAAGGCTCCTGGTCCTCGTCGTCGTCGTCGTCGTTCTCGTCGTCGTCGTCGTCGCTCTCGTCGTCGTTCTTGTCGTCGTCGCTCTCGTCGCCATCGTCGTCGTCTGAGGGGGAGGATAACGCGGAACATGGTATCGCGGAGGAGCAGGGAGAGGAGATCTAGTAGTAGTAGGAGGAGGAGAAGGAAGAGGAGGAGGAGCAGGATGAGGAGGTGGAGGAGGAGGAGGAGATGCAGTTGGGTGGCGTGTGTGCGGGCGTGCGCTGCGCGAGTTGGAAGACCAGGGCAGGGTTGTCCGAATGATTTGTGCTTTAGGCGGGGTACGTAGTGGCTCCGATGTCATTGGTTATCGCTTTCGCTCGCTCTCTCTCTCTCTCTCTCTCTTTCTCTAGATACGTACATGTATGTATAGAGATGACACATCTACGCAACACGTGCTTTGCCATATCAAGAACGGTTGCGGCGAATCACCGCCGTTCCAGGCCGACTGGAAGCTCTCATGCGGACGAGGGCACCTCCACTGGACTTCAGGGGTGAGCCCCCGTCACGAAAGGTTGCTTCTCACTGGTCGATCGGGTCGACGGGCATCTCTTACCCTCGCCTCCCATGTCCGTGCTTGGTCATACTCTTCTTCTCGTCCTCTTCCCCGTGCTACTTCACTCGTCTTCGTGTGTTTCGTCATTGTCTTCCGTCCCTCCCTTGACAATAGATTTCCTTCGTCCTCCTCTGATTTCCCCATCAGTCTTCTCTTTATCATCTTTCTCCTGCCCTATCTGGATGCCTCTCCCTCGTCTTTCTCTTCCTATCCACCCTCTCCCTCACAAGGCCTTGACCAAGGCGCTGGGCTATTCTGCCAGTGGCGAATCACCGTAGATACACTGAGAGCTGTAGGGCAGGAGTGCGACCACATAGAGCCTGGTATTTGCGCAAGTGTAATATGATTCTGGAACAGGCAATAGGATGCGGCGGCGGTGCCTGCATGAGTCACAGCAGCATAGGCCTTGAGCAGACATTGTAGCTGGAGGGCACACTGGGTAGAGCCGTTCAGAATAGACCATGTCTCAGGGGAGGGACATGTCAAGTGATGGCGTGGCGTGATGGCTGATGCGAATGCTGATGATGATGACGATGGTAACAATAATGATGATGAGGATGATGCTGATGATGATTATCATGATGATGACGATGAGGATGATGGTGATGGTGATGATGATGCTGCTGCTGATGATGATGACGATGATGATGATGGCAGTGCAAGTTTTTCAATTAGGCCGGATATGCCACTGTCGAAACGTGCTGATGATGGTTCCGACGTGGCTGGCGGACTGATTCCAAGAAGTGCGCGCGACGGTTGCCGAAGGGCAGGGGAAGGTCAGGCGGCCGCACGCCACGCACAGCAGGCACTCTGCTTGGACAGCAGGCGCCCTCCCGACGGGCCGATCCTGACCCACGGCGGTTCCCAGGCCTCCGTCCATCTTCTGATGGCCCGGAGGCCCGTCAGGGGCCCGTCCACAGGCCCAGGAGGCCGAGGGCGAGGACGAGACCGCCGGGGGCTCTGAAAATGGCATGTTGTCGGGGGTCGGCCCGGACCTCTGCCGGGAGTCGTGCGGACAAGGACATCGAGGAGAATCGGGCCGTGGCGACGAGGGATTCCCGGGGAGCCCAAGATGGCGAAATTGAGGGAAGGCTAGCGGTAGCGGTGCCGGGGACGCCGAGATCAAGGAAAGCCTCCGGGATGGAGATACGCACCCCCAACGGACAGAGGTGAGAGCACGGTCGCCATGTGCACCTCAGGCTGTTGTTTCTCCTAGCCATCCTGTGGCGTTGGATCTTCGTTTTGAAGAGACATCTCCCCGCGTCCTCCCTTCCTTCTCCCCCTTACTCCTCCTCCTCCTCCTCATCCTCCTCCTCCTTCTCCCCCTCCTCCTTCTCCTCCTCCTCCCTCCTCCTCCTACTCCTCCTCTCCTCCTCCTTCCTCCTCCTCCTCCTCCTCCTCCTCCTCCTCCTCCTCCTCCTCCTCCTCTCCTCCTCCTCCCCCCCTCCTCTCCTCCTTCTCCTTCTTCTCCTCCACCTCCTCCACCACCTCCTCCTCCTTCTCCTCCTCCTCCTCCTCTCTCCTCCCACCCTTGCCCCTGTCCTTCGCATGTCCTCATCACCATAATTAGCAGCATCCTTAGCATCATTAGCAACATAATCCTCATCATCACCATCATCATCATCATCATCATCACCATCATCATCATCATCATCACCATCATCATCATCATCATCATCATCATCATCATCATCATCCTTATCACCATCGTCATCGTCATCACCATCACCATCACCACCATCATCATCATCATCATCATCATCATCGCCATCATCATCATCAGCAGCATCATCATCCACATCCTCATCATCATCATCATCATCATCCACATAATCATCAGCAGCGTCATCAGCAGCATTATCACCATCATCACCATCATCATCAGCGGCATCAGCATCGTCATCACGATCACACAATGAACATCATCCAAACCATCAGAATCATCATCCGAATCAGCATCGACAGCCGTATCATCACCATCATCAGCAGCATCATCTTCAGCATCTCACCATCATCCCCATCAGCATCATAAGTATCAACAGCACCATTATGAGCATCACCATCATCGTCACCATCATCATCACCACTAGCATCATCACCATCATCATCATCGTCATCGTCATCCTCATCACCATCATTGCCATCATCAACACCACCATTATCAGCTGCAGCAGCATTACCAGCATCATCATCATTATCAGCATTATAATACTCTTCTGAATCAATTGCACCATCTTCGTTGTTGTTACCACCACCAGCATCATCACCAGTATGATCATCATCAGCGTCATCAACATCATCATCATCATCATCAGCATCATCATCATCACCACAATAATTATCATCATCACCACCACCACACCACCATCGTCATCATCATCATCACCATCATCATCATGTTTCGTGGCTCCACAGGGGGTTCGTTAGGGAATTCCCCTCGCACGTGTCGTGGCCCCATCGGGAGCTCCACCTAAGGCCCCAGTGGCTGCGCCCGCAGGCCGCCGCCCCCTCATTTTGGAACACACCTCACACGTTTCGTGGCCCCATCCCCAGTGGCTGCGCCCGTATGCCGCCACCTGTCCATTTTGGCACACCGCTAATACGTTTCGTGACACCAGCGGGAGCTACACGTGTCGTGACCCCGTAGGGAGCTCCACTGAGGGCCCCAGTGGCTGCGCCGCATGCCGCCACCCCCCTCCCTTTGGCACACCTGTCACACGTCTCGTGGCCCAAAAGGAAGCTCCACCGAAGGCCTCAGTGGCTGCGCCCGCATGCCGCCACCCGTTCATTTTGGCACACACACCCCTCGCACGCTTCGTAGCTAGCCCCATGGTGGGCTCCACCGAAGGCCCCAGTATCTGCGTTCGCATGCCGCCACCCCCCTCCCTTTGGCACACCTGTCACACGACATGTGGCCCCACAGCGAGCTCCACCTAAGGCCCCAGTGGCTGCGCCCGCATGCCGCCCCCCCCCTCACTTTGGCACAACCCTCACACGTGTCGTGGCCCCATAGGGAGCTCCACCTACGGCCCAGGTGACTGCGCCCGCATCAGAATGTAACCCGTTCTGGCTGACCTCCGCACCTTCATGCGGGATGCCCCGGCGGCGGCGCCCATACGGCGGCCCCACCCCCTTTCGGCGCTCTCTTCAGGCATTTCGCGGCTCCGTCGGGAGCTCCACCAATGGCGGCTCTCACACCGGCGGTACTCACAGTTGCTATGGTTAGGTCCTTTGCTCGACTAGGCGTAAGAGTGACCTTTCGCCGGAGTGACCTTTGGTGCGGGCACAGATGGGCCCCCAGATGGCCGAACGAGAAGCGGTAGCAGCGGCATGCGCGCTTGCTTTTGGCCCCCCCGCGGTCCCAAAAAGCCGCGGTCCCAAAGGTCACGCTTACCCAGGGTCACTCTTGCGTGTGGCCGATTTGCCGAGATCATAAATCTGGATCGGGGCTGGCCGGACCGAACATGCAGCCGACACTGAAGCGATAGCACGGTTCCTGCATTTGTGGCGAGGAGGTCTCCGGCGAAACGGCCGCCGGACTGGGCGGTCTCACCGGGCGGCCCCGGGATCCCCGCGCCCTCTGTGCGACTCCTGCGTGGTTCTTTAGAACTGCTAGAAGAGCCCTCTAGAGCGAAAAGCTGGTACAGTCGAATCTTTCGTCGGAAATTTGGGCTTGCCGCCAGCAGGAGACCGCTTTCGTATCCATGGCGATGCCAGGCGTGAGCGTGGGGGGGAGGGGAGAGGGGCCCGTGGCGTCACGATTCGCGCCGGCGCCGTCTGGGAATGCCTTGCAGGAAGAGCCAATTCCCGGACGGCGCCGGCGCGGACCGTGGCGTGACCAGGGGGGTCCCGGAGGGGGGGGAGGCAGACATCCTCCAATGTGTTTTTGTTGGTGCCAGTCCGCCGTGCCCCAGAAGTCCAGGTCCCTGCCCTGCTGGGTGGAGTTTGTCGTCCCGGATCTATGGTTGATGGCCCCGTG